CATGCAGAACAGGAGTCTGAGGCCTCAGACTTAGGTTGATCGAGTAGGTAGAACGCCATGAAGATTGGAAGGCCGATTTCCCGGCCAGTTTCCCGAAATTCTGAATTTCACAGAACTACAGCGCCGACGTTTCTGTTCTTCTGCTTCCTCCACTTCTGAGCCACGCAGCCAGAGTTGAAACTTAACCCGCGCACCGACGGGGGTCTGCGCCAACTTAGTACCGACGGGGGGGGGGGCGGATGACCGCCCCCCCCCCTGAGATCTCGAGAACGAAGCAAGATAGCGACAAGCGGTAAACGGCATCGGATACGCACGGTCAAGATCTACAATTTTTACTAAGGTCATTTTCAGGTCAGGTCAAAGATGACGTCACAGGGGTCGAAAAAGTCAAAATGGCGGCGCTAGATATGGAGAGAGTTTTTTCTCGAATAACTTTCGAATTAGTCAAGATAGGAACAAACTAAGGGCATCATCGTGATCCTCTCGTCAATCCACATCGAATGATATATATGTTGACCTCGAAAGGTCAAGGTCAAAGGTTGACCTCAGGTCACGTGACCTCGAGGTCATCATGTATATCATTCGATGCGTCTTGACGAGCTGAACACAATGAGACCATCCACGCGTCTGTATCTTGTTCCTGTACGGAGTTATTGGCCAAAAACCTTTGGTGACCTTTGATGACGTCACATGACCTCACAGCTGCCCAACAGCAAAACAGACCTCAAGGTAGTGAAGGTTGATCGTATATGAAGTCATGTATGGTATATGGGGCCATTCCGACCCGTTTTAGTGGTAAAAACAGGGAGTTGATTTTTCCCCCATTGACTTATAATGGGGAGGTCGCGAAATTGACCTGACCTTAGGTCACCGATATCAAAATTCCGAGATACACAAATTGTAGCTACTAATGACCTAATAACATCCTGCGACTTTCAAAGGCCTCCGACATCTACTGTAGCTCTGGCACGGTGACAAAGTTGCAAAAAAGTGACTTGAGGTTGGGTCATTCAAAGTGACCTGGTGACCTGACCTTGAAAGGTAGGAGGTTCAAACTTGCACACCATGTGTAAAATTGATAAGGGAATAGTCATACCAAATTTCGCGGCGCTACGCGCCGCGGTTCTCCCGCTATTCGCGAAAAACCTCGGGGGGGGGGGGGGGCGGATATCCGCCCCCCCCGTCGGTGCGCGGGTTAATACCAAGGGCTGACCCAGACAACCTCCTATAGAAGTCAGCCAGCAGCCGCCGAGAATCCTCCGTTCCGTCGTTTCCAATTTCCATCATCAGGATACTGAACTGAAATCCTTCTTTGTTGTTTATTGGAGCTTTAGGGCGCGCCGACTGCTAGGGTCATTTTGCGCCCATAACGTCCTGAAATCCTTCTCCTCCACGCCGCAACCCCACTCCGGGCTGGACAGGCACCTTTATCTCATGCGGGCTGCTCCCTTGGAGCGGCACCGCTGCTCCCGAGGGAGCGCACCCCGTAGCCGGGTGCAGTGAATACCGTGGGGCTGGTCGGCCTATCCTTCGGGATGGGCTCAGCCCTGGTGACTCACTAGGGGGCCTGCCCAGACCAATGTCTCCCTCTAATTCCTATCATCCTTCCGGCTCTGAAATGGTCTTGTCAGACCGAAAGGGCCTAGCCCCCCCCCCCAAAAAAAAAAAACGCTGGGAATCAAACGCACTCACAGCGTAGTCACGACAAAGGTGCACCTCGCGTCGTGACCAGTGACCACAACCCGAAGCCCTACAGTCGATCGGAGCACATAAATGCATTACAATCATCTCATAAAATAATGTATTTCGCCATCATTAATGGGCTGCATGTCCACAATATTCGCACTTCATTCTATATCATACTATACATAACCTGACAACGTGACAAATACACGATATGCAACGACGCTCTCGAGTCTCGAATTGGCTAGACACCTGCGACTTGGTAAGGTCGAAATGGGTGGGGAGCTCCTCAGTCCTCGCTGGGCTAGTCGGAACACGACTGAGCAAATGTGCGCGCGGGTATATACGGGATATATGTTAACACAGCAGGGCCGATATAAATAAAATATTCCGAGCTCAGTGGTCGAAACATTTCTGCGAGAATTTCTATTACTAAGGTGCACCCATGACTGTCACTGTAAAATGTGCTGCCACCTGTCATAAGACAGCATGACTAGACATTTTGATAGTTATCGCTAGGTGGCCACCTGCCCGGGGCACGAGGCTAGTCTCCCATCACGAGTTGCATCTTCACCTGAATAAACTACCTACCCGACCGGTTAACAGAACCTAACCCGATTAACATATCCCACCAGCGTGCACGCTAATCAGACGACTAGAGTACGTCATAGGGGGCAGCCACCCGACGGAGGGACCCGCGGGGCATACCAGCTGGGAAACCGCCCTCTGTCGCGTCCACCCAGCCACCCGCACTAAACTCATACGAAACAGCCAACAGACATCCGCTCCGCACACCTCCAGTCTCAGCACATCACAGAGATCGCACAACGGAGAGCCGAGGAAGCTTAGAACAGCAACCCCGGCCAGGCCGCAACCACTCCTCTCTCACTACCGACAGGTGGCGCTGAACTCACAACACCTAACTCCGTACGACCACTCTGAGCCACCTCAGACACCTCAAACCGACCCACATAATGCCAGCACGCTACGTAAAGCAACAGAGGGCAAGCACCAAACGAAATCACAAACCGAGCCGAGCCGCGCTGGGTACCACCGGACGGCGAGTCGGCACCGCGACCAGCTGAGATTCTGCGCCGGGCCAGGACCTCCCCGGGCTCTGCGCCGGTCCAGGGCCTCCCCGAGCTCTGCGCTTGTCCGGCTGTCCCACCAAGCGCCGGAGGACTGCGGGTGTCATTGTCAGTCTCGGCCGAGTGTCCACTGCACAGACGTACAGTGGGTCTATTTAAGATCTCCAGAGCCACCACGTGGCGCTGCGGTCGGGGTAGGGCGAGTCCAAATCCCGAGGGAAGTGAGGTCACCGGTCATTGTGGGGGGAAGGAGGGAGGGGGAGTGACGCGGTATCACGGCGCATGGGGCGTGCGTAGCGCCGGGAGTGGGCCGCCCAGGGCCGCCCGCCACTGCGCCGAGGCTGAGGGGAGGGGATGATGGTTGCGGGTGCGTTCACTCCGGTATGGTGGTATCCTGTTCATGTGGAACCAGCAAGAATGCGACTGAAGGGAATCATTATCTCAAACAAACGGGCAAGCCAGAGGCAGCGTCAGTTCCAGCCAAAATGTTGAACAATGATAGGTAATTGAAATCTAGGACGCATTCATAGCATGCAACTATTCAGTCGATAGTTGCATGATGCTTTTCATGATGCATGATGAGGCTGTTCTAAACTGTTATTTGAGTTAGATATTTTTCATTTGGCACGATCAGTTTTGGCGGGTTTTATCGGGCCGAAAAGAATCAGAAAAGATTTGAAATGGCTCCAGAAAAATGTCCAAAAATATTTTCTCAATAATGAAACTTTGCTAAACATTTATAAGCGATAATTTTGAGTTTTGACTTTTTGAGAGGATATTGGGGAAAGATATTCGGGAAAGATGTCATCGCGCTTATCTGTGTTGCAGTAGAAGGAAAGGTTTGGTTCGTGTCGAGATAAAACCGGACCCGGGAGTGGGGCTCGAACTCACGACATCGCATTCAGCTCACAGGTTACCCAACCTCAACGCTACGAGCACCTCCGCCCTGCGCAGCTTGCTCAGTGTTTCGGCTAGAGTTCGGCCAAAAGTGTCTGACGTCTGTCAATGTCACGAAGCGAAACCGCAAGGTAGATGTCCGTCCCGGTAGCTCGGTCGGTAGAGCGTTGGACTTAATATGCCATGTGGTGAGAGCGCACATCCCGGTTGCAAAAGTCCGGGTTCGAAACGCGACGTGTGTTTGACGTTTTTGAGCCTCCTGACGGGTATGGTTGTGGTTGGTGGCAGGCCGCTGCCAGGCGAAGTCATTGAGGGGACCGGCCGTGCGCGGCTATGTGCGCACGTTAAAATTTGGACTCTAATTCTGCCATAGACCAGGAATTGTTTGATCGGAGGGTAGAGAGCAGGGTCAACGCAACAAGCTCAGCTTAGCGGGGACTCTGTCCTTGTGAATCTTTTCATTCAAAAGGTTCAGGCCAAATTAAATATTAAAAAAGGGGGAGCCGAACCAGGTTGGGCCGGGTTGAACCCTGTTGGACCGGTGTCTTACACGCAATCATGGTCAGACAAAACAGAGGTTAATTTCGGGTCAAATATTTTTATTAACTGATCTTATTGTTTTTAGCTTACACGTATATTAACTTTTAGCTTTTTTTAACTCGAGACTTCATGCACAAAAATGTGGCATTCGTCTACTTTTCCTCATTTTCTCTTAGCGATTTGATTTGACTTTAAAGGCCCATCTTACCAGTAAAAAAATCACCTGCGTGATAATTATTTGCCAAAGGGCGCTCTACGCAAGAAACGCCAGCCGGTCAAAAAACTGGCGAACGATACGATGTTTCTATTGCTTGAATTATATTCAATGAAAGTTTCAGGAGACATAAATAATATTAATCCTTATAGCAACTGGGCGCCCGGAGCATTCGCTAGCATTGCATTGCCAGCTGCATTACCAACATCACATTTGCATTATTTTGGGTTCATCATAGTTGACAGTAGATAAACCGGCCACAGCAAACCCATGCCTCATCATCCTTTCCTTCCAAGCAGCCAACTGCCAAGCTAACCGGCCGCCCGGCCCACCACCGTGATATGGAACAACGCTGGAGTGCGCCATTTGCCTGCGGCAGTGCCCCACCGGGCCGGGGCTGTTTGACAGGTCACCCGCACCGTGACCTCGCTGCCCGCCCCGCCCCCCCCCCCCTCCGCCCCCTCGCCCCTCCCCACCTCTCCACCTCCCCACCGGGCTCAGCTCGGTAGTGACCTCTCCTTGAATCTCACATGGACTCGACTGAGGTTCAACGCCATCTAGTTTCGTCTGGAGATCCTTACTAGATCCACTGTACTGCCAGGCTGTCACCGAGCCAGTCGCCGGCAGGTGGCGGGCACCGTTAAGTAGGACGATAATCTCCCAATGGGCCCTTCATCCAACGCCCTTCGTAGGATCGCCCTCTCCACCACGACAGCATTCAGCCCACGCGGGATTCCTCTGTCGGCATCAGCGTCGTCTGGCTGCGAGCGGTGACGATATCGGAGCTGCTTGACGGTATCGCCATGGCACAGGCTTCAGAGCTCGAGGATGTCGCTGTGCCGCCTGTATCAGAGCTCGAAGATGTCGTTGTGCCGCTGCTCAGTGCGCCGTCGCGCGTCGCTGCGCCGTCCGCGCACTGCCGTGGCCGGCACGGCCGCCGGGTCAGGGTACAGGTCACGGCGCAGACGGGAGTGGGCCGGCCGGACAAACAGCACGTCTTCGTCCAGCTCCGACAGCCTGCCGGAGAACAGGGGCGGGGAGAGCTAGGTCACCGAGGGAGGTCGGAGGCGCACAATGACCGCTCGAGACGCAACAAAACCTGAGACTCGCGAGGCTGATGAGCACTGGCACTTTATGACGTGGTAAAAATTGATTGCGGTCGAAAAAGAACTACACGGTCCCACGATTGTATCATCAGATGGCGTATGCTATGCACAAACGTGAAACGATATCAACTCTGAGCTCCCTATCTGTTCGACAGGACACTCAATTATTGAGAGATATTAGATACACTACTTCTTTCTACTGACATGACCGAACAATGTATGAGCAGCAGTGATCCAGCGGTGGTGAACTGACTACTTTTCTCTACAGACGGCCCCGAGAGAGGAAAGCAGGTGGGAAGTGCACACTCCAATATAGCGGGCAGCAACACGCTACCATAAAAATAACAGCTAAGCAGCATGCCGGCCCCAAGCAATCTATACAAAGCACACCAAAATCGCGGATGAATTAAAGATATAAGTGGCAAAAGCAGGAAAGCCTCTGTGACGGGTCAGCAATTGTAAGGCATCAGGCAGTCTGTACACTAGTGTAATCTAGCAGCACGCCGCTTCAGCTAGTCACTAGCGCGGGGGCGGCAGTCGGACAGGCGGGGCGAAGTCTGACCTAAATAGTCGCGTCACACCGCCGACTCATCAAAGTCGTCGTTAAAGTTATTCCACTTGGTTCGCGCGAACGCCACCGCTTCACTGCCCCAGCTGAAAAAGAACCAGCCAGCATAAAATGATGGCAACGGCGAGCCGGGTAAGGATGGCGGTCTACAATCTACACAAATTTACAGAACGCCGATGGTTAAACAATGAACACTGGGTGAGAGTAGTAAGTGCGGTGCGCAGTAATTTTGGTGAGAGGACAAGGCTATTGATCAACAAACTAGCCGGCTACGGCGTCATGCTGGGAATGGTTACGTGAGAAGAGCTGCTGCGGTGCAATTAAGTGTTGAAGCGGCTAGCCAAGTTAAATTACACTCTTAAAGGCGATTTTCGTAGCAATGAATGGCATCATCATATTAACAAGTAGGTTTAATTCGCATCAATGTTTTATATGTATTACCTAAATATCAAACATTTGTTTGCATTGGAAAGAAAAGTTCCGCGCAAAAGCTTTCAAATCGTGTAGGTACGCCAGTAATGCACAAACGATTGCATTATTAACTGCAAAAAATATAGCGAGCACGAACGTCTGGAGCATGAGTCATCGAGCGAACGACAGCCACCTGACAGGCGCCGTTCCTTTCCAGTAACTAGCTTGGAAACGATGAATGCCGTTGTAAGGTGACAATGCGTCAATTCAGGGTAGACGGGTGACGTTTTGCCGGATGTCTACAATCCATTGAGTCGCTTACCAGACAGGGGCCCTTTCCGGGGAGGGGAGAGGGAGGCTAAGCAACAGCGAATGCAGCTCAAGCAGAAACTTCGCTAGTTGCAATTGACTGTGCTAGCTTCCAGCTAACAGTAAGCATTGAAAAAATGTTGGTTTCTGGGGAAAAATTTCGAACGCTAGGTGACAGGCGGAAAGCCTGCCCGGCCGTTCCAGACGGGAATATGCCGGACGCCGATTCTACGGTAGCCCGCGTGCCTTTGAGCAGGCCACAATAGGCGCCACGCTGACCTTTCCGACACAGATGTGCCAGCAGACGGTCCAATTGGTATTGTAGCCATGCCACAGACAACAGCTGGCCTTCTAAGATTCGACCACCACCCTTGAAAACCGTATAACGAAACGAAACGAAACCCCTGAAAATACTGACTTTGGACCCACCGTGCCAGCCAACCAAATATAAAGGAATTCAATGACAAAACAAGTGTCACACATGGGAATAAGGATTCAATTCATGTTTAAAGTAATATATTGATGGGTCTAATTTTCAGTATTACTTGCCTACCACATCACATGCATATGCAAAATGCATACAAAACAAGCACATAGACGATAGATTGGAAGATAAAAACAGAACAACAAATAAAAGGCGCAAGTTGATGGCCAAAGCAGCAGATAAATTTGGGTAAAAGGTGTAGGTTAGGCATTTTCAAAAAGTGCAGAATTATTGTGATACCTTTGAACTGTTCATGACAAAAGAAGCGTGTTATATTACCTTGACACTGCCATACTGTTCTTAAAAAGGAAGTGAGTATCAGGGCTGCGGAGTCGGAGTCGGAGTCGGAGTCGGAGTCGGTCGGAGTCGACAGTTGTGACCGGAGTCGGAGTCGGAGTCGGAGTCGATTTTAGAAGCCCGAGCCGGAGTCGGAGTCGGAGTCACCGAAAATCTGTCGACTCCGCAGCCCTGCTAGGTCTGCGGAGTCGGAGTCGGGAGTTGGAGTCGGTCGGAGTCGACAATTCTGCCCGGAGTCGGAGTCGGAGTCGGAGCTGGTTTTTGAAAGCCGGAGTCGGAGTCGGAGTCGGAGTCGCCGAAAATCCATCGACTCCGCAGCCCTGGTGAGTATCACACCATGACACCAAAAACAAATATCGCAAAAAAATCAGCAAGTGAAAAAAGCGAATGTGAACTAAATAAAATGTACATACAGCTCAGGGTGAAACTAAAACAGTGCATGTGCATTACATAGGCAGCATGTGAAAATTAACAGTACCTACCAGTAAGCTGCAATAGCATGCCATGGCCAATGCACGAGTACCAGCCATCCAAAACAAGCTAGCCATTCACTCAAACACTGGCCTGGCATCCCGGAGAGCAGCTGACGCAGTCAAAAAGAAAAAAAAACTATGCATGGCCGGACAACAACGGTACGGGACGGAAAAAAAACATAGATTACCGGCCGCCTGCCGTCCGTCCATCCCTCCGGCCGGCCCGCGGGAGCGGCGGCCGACTCTGTACTCACGGCTGGTTGGTGCCCAGCTTCTGGACGTTGGTGCGGCTGCTGGCGATCACGCTGTCGATGCCGCTGAGGAAGTCGGCGGCGCTCTGCTCCGAGCGGTCCAGCTCCGTCTGCGAGCCCGACCGGGGCACGCCGTTGGTGCGCGTTGAACACGACGACGACGAGTGCAGGCTGTCCAGGCTGGTGGAGGCCGAGAGGACGGCGGCGGCGCCGGCGGCCGGCGGCGCCTGCTGCTCGCCGCCCGGCTCCAGAGGAATGGGTACCAGCAGCGTGCGCCGCAGCGCCAGGCTGTCGTTGGTCCACAGCTTATTGGCCCGCTTCAGCTGCTCCATCTGAACAGGGGGGGGGGGGGATAGTCGAGTGATGTGATGTTACAGCTGTCAGCTAATGCTGGGGACAATGGGGACCAACAACAGGGGCCAAAGGAAAAGAGTGAAAATAACCAGACACTTGTTAAACTTTGAAACATTATCAACCAATCATCATGCCAGTGAAGCAAGGATGCTTTCTTTAATTTTTAGCAATGTGAAGTAAAGTTAAAAGAAGCATGAGCTCATGTGCCCTAAATTAAGCAGCCTAAGGCTGATCCCTATAAAATATGAAACAAATCATCTAGTAAAGCATACACCAAGAGCCAATATTGTTTGGAGATACTTTAGAAAGTCACACAAAAGACACAATTACTGAGGAGAGATATGATATATCATTAACTGATCTGATAACAAAACATCAGCTTCATGACATAATGAAACCGTAATTTATCAATGGCTTCCATGTAGGTACTTTATTTAATGGAATAACTGTGATCATAATTTGATACAAATTAAATGCAAATTATTGAAAAAATGGATGACCTTGGTATATAAATTTTATAGAAACCTTTTGATGTTATGAAACTGACTAAATTAACTGCACAAAGAAAATGGATTTTAAGAAACCTAGACACAAATTAATGGCACAAAGAAAATTGATTTTTAGAAACCCAGACACATTTATCCCTTCCAGCTGAGCTAGGTATTGATGAAAAGAAAAGTGGGTATTTTACTAACCATTGCAAGTAATTGTTATTATCTATTGTTCAACAAGCACTGGAGGACAAGCATCATTTGCCAATTTTTTTTCAGATTGATACAATATAATAATAGGTAGTACATCAGTACCTAATTCATCACATATTTTCATCGTCCCGGTCCATCCCTTTGTTATCTCTTGTTTTAGGGATAGCTAAAACTATCACTCTCTGTCTGTCACTAGCACTATATATCTTTTCTTTGTTTCAGGATGTCTATTGTCTAGGTTCCATAGAATATTCAATAAAAATAAGATGTAGGTACAAGTTTCCAGTGAAACATACAACATTTCTGATATTTCTGAAATGAAAATTGATAAAATAAGACATCTGGTGAGTTGACAAGCAAAACCAACATCCTCTTTCAATGAGGAAATTATATTCAACTCAATAGGTAATAACATTTTCTTTTAACAACATTACTTACTAAGTGTTCATTCAACAATGTGAAATAATTTACTAATTTCTCTAATGGAGCCAGAATAAAAAATGGATTAAGTAGCCTAATTACAATCATAATTGATCCACCAACGCATATTACGACGGATTAACAGTAACCAATTACGAGAGCCTCGTCAATGCACATTGATTACAATTCTATCCATGCTGATAAAAAGTAATGCTATTTTCATTAAATATTTCAATCCCTTTACACCAAACTCAAGGAAAAACGACCCATATTGCAGGAAAAAGGGTGCGCCACGAACGCATCATCTCACCGTTACGTTGTGCTTGAGTGATATTCCTTGCAATGTATCTCCGGGCTGGATTTCATATGAAATGAACCTTTCAGGTTTGTTGACATATGTTGAAGTACTTCCATATTTGCGTTGTTCTTTATTAAATGAAGATATTAAAGACCGCTCTTCGTCCCTTGAGTACGCCATTTTCGTCTCCTTCAGTGCTGCCAAAACTAGCATTCTGAAACAGATGGCAGCAATAAGTAAGCATCACGTGACCGATGTGAAGGAATTCGGCTGGAATTCGGTATGCATGGGAAGGGACGAGTTGAAGAGCACAGCATGCACCCTTTAGATGAAAATTAGCTATTTAGCCTGCTTCTCACAAACAAGACGCTCGAAAAAACAGCTTTTAGTGAATATCATAGTTCAGACGCGGTCATGTGTCATGCAAAAGGCTCCTAATCAGAGAACGAGCGCAGGCTCCACGGATCTGCTCGATCGCGTTGCATCGCCGGCGGGCGGCGCATCCCCGAAGTCCCAACCCAGCCCATCGATATACCTTCGTACCCATTGCAAAAGCACGCTCGTACGTGCGCGGTAGAACGGTTCGCTTTCATCAGGGGTCACTTGCTGCATCTCATATGAATACGCTTAGACCATCTGCGCCACGCACTTTAGCCAGTAGCCACGCCTGTCGCATACCCTGGATCCGTTCTCGAGATTGAAGCCGTAAAACCGAGCTACCGGGATGTCGGAAGAGCAGTTATTTGGGTATTTTTAGATAAAAAATGCAATAAGCCCCATTTTGGCTATCCTTCTCACTACCCAGCTGGGCTGGAAGTGAGCAATCAGTGAATCTTTCCGTCCCGTACAAACAGGTTTACCGTATCCGTGCAAATGAATGCACCGCTGAAAGCGAAAACACACCGTGCGGACGCGGAGAGAATCACAAGCTGCAAACGCTGCAGAACCACCAGCTGATCTGATGTGTGCGTACGTTACCGGGTCTGAATGGGCCGCGGCCACGTGCCGTCCTTCGCACAGTCCACGAGCGACCCACGAACTGGGACGACCGGGGCAGAGGACCCGTCTCCGTCCGACCGATAAACATTTCACGTCTGGGTGACATTGACCACAACACCCAGCGGTGACCTCTCAGCTGGGCGCTCTCTCCCTCCTGTGCTCTATCCCATTCCCCGGTCCTCCCACCCGTGTCACGAGGCATAAAGTAACACAAGAGATCGACCGAAGGAGGGGAGGAGAGGGATTGTCGGTTAGGGGCGGGAGACTTCCTCGGGAGGTCTCCCCATGGATTACTCACTGTCCCTGGTTGATTTCCTCCATGATGGCCGGTCCATCCTCCGACACCCGCCGCTCGGAGGCCACCGCGTGCGAGGCGAACACGTCGGCCGCCTTCACGTGGTTCAGGTTCAGATCCCTGTCACCGGCGGGTTCCAGGCTGGTCATCATCGCTGCCGGCTGCCGCCGCTGCGAGCCGCGCCGCGCACTGGGGAAAAACTGACGGCAGTCGTCCCGCTTTCGCCGCTCGCCGCGCCGCGCCGCCGGTGGTTTGGCCCGTCCACGGCACCCGCCAGCCTTGTTCGGCACGGCGTCACGTGCGCTAGTCACGGGCTGACCTGCCTGCCACCTGGCGGCGCCCATCACAGGTGCGCTCACCCCCGCCCCCTCCTGCCGCGGGGCCAGGGTCACCGGCGGCGGCGCGGCGCAGCGGACGACGCCTCAGGGATGGCACCCATCTCAGAGATGGTGTAGATTCTCAGAGATGGTGTAGATACGAGCCCGCCGTACGCCGCCCTAAGCCGACCTCAAGGTGAGAGAACCCGTAAGAGGACCGGGCCTCGAAATGAACACCGGATATCTCCCGGAGGTCTGGCTGAATCCGGAAGCCAGGAGAGGACAGAAATGGAAAACGGTGAGAACTAAGTACTGAGAAGTAGGCAACGATCAACGCTACAGCCTGGACATTTGGGGAATAACTAGGTCTAAAACCGAGATCGCGTCAATGCAAGGACAGGGCCAAGGCGGCGGAGTCGCACCTACATAGGACAGGTATGCAGGCATAACGGTACGCTGGTCTGATATGCAGCTGAGCCACAGTGCAGATTTTAACGTTGGGAAGGCTAAGAACGCTGCCTGTCGTGAATTAGGGCGATTTGTTGGTCAGAGAGCGGCTTAGTGTAAGCGCGTGCTTCCCTGTTCCCACCCCGCGGCCGTGCAGCTGGTTGTTCAGTGGCCAGTTGCCGACGGTTAGGTCAGCTGGTGGTTACTGGTCAAGACTGCAGTCGTGAAGGGTGATCGTCAAATTCACGAGCTCTCCGTCGCCTCCGGGCAGCTCTTGAAGCTCATTATTCTGCGGTGGCATTGTTTCGCTGACCGTTCGCCAGCAGCTACTGTTCCATTGAGACATTAAAGGGACCCTCCCACCTTCAAAAAAGTTTATGAATTGGCATGAAAGTGATGTCGCTCGGTTCAGAAAGAGCGAAAACGAATATCTACCAAATTTCACCGAAAAATATTCACCGGTTTTCAAGATATTAGACTTTTACTTTTGTTTACTTTTTTGGGATCTTCGCTGTTTCTAGCGATATTATTTTAGAAGTGCGGCGTTTGCGGCAGATGTTGCGCGCAAATAGCATATACCACCGCGTGCTAGAAAACGTTTTAGTCAAACATTTAAAAATCGTTAGATATTTGCGCTGACGTCACACATTCAGAGGGGTATTCCTAAGCATTAGCCCCTCTGAATCAAAATGCTGCAATTTTGAAATTCAATATTTCCGATTTAAGGCATTTCTCGATGTTGTGAGTGCCGAAACCGGTAATTGTGAGCCAGGGACCCCATTTTGGCTATCTCAACTCAAATCTAATGTTAAGGTGGGAGGGTCCCTTTAACTCAGTAATGAGCCAGAAAGAGCGAGAGCGAGAGAAGGAACGTGAAAGAAGGGCGAAACTATATGCCTTGGGCGAGGCCATGTCAGCGCGAACATGAAGGCGACCGGGGGACGCAACACCTCATGCTTTACATTATTGCGCAAAGCTAGACGAGAAAGTCCAGCTTGGCAACAAGACCCTTGAAGCTCGCCGGCCATAGTATGACTTCTGCATTGAATCCAGTCACAAAACAGCCCCTGTGCAGATAGCCCACTGCGTTATACACTACCGTGTTATCAAAGGCCTCGAGAGGCGGTAGGTATACCTACGAGTGACACGACAAATCGTCTTAATAGCCAACTGCATAATCCGTCTTAGCATAAGCATTTCGACATATTTTTAGGGATTTCAATTTTCAGTACATCAAGCCCAGGCCTATTCCAAACCGTTCCCATTCCCCGCACTAAGACTAGGGGAGGCCCAATTGAACCTAGCTATCGGGGTCACTGCTCAGATAGGCGCGCACAGTGTTATCAACAGCAGTGAGGCGCCGTCTAAAAGCTGTCTTGTCTCAATACTCGTACCGCAATCTCCAGTAGTGCGGACGTGTACACGTAACTATATCAGGCGTGATTAGCATACAGGTTACTCATTATGTTGCTATGCGACAATCTTCAACATAAGAAAAACTCTGTTATAAAAAGACGATTCAGCGGCTTTCAGCCAATTCGGAGGGTCTATGCTTGCGGAAATGCCACCCCACTGTTGTAACTATCAAGCATCAGCAGTCTGCTCACTGGGGTCAGGCTCGACATATATCATTTCATGAACGTATCCGGTCAACCACAATTCGAACTACGCTCTGACCCCCCTCACAGTCCCCGCAAACACCGTTTGGTCAGCGTGCGCTGTATTCAGAGGTCTACAGAGGCGGCTGAGCGCGGGAAGGACAGCCTCCGACTGCTCCGTCGGGGCGCCTCCGACTCACTGCTCCCGGGCTGACCGGTACGCTGGCCCGAGGGCCCTTCCCGGCACGGACCGGACCGGGCCCACAGCCCCGGTCACTGGCCCACAGTGGGCGAGATGCAGCCCCAGTGCACAGAGCCGGCATATTCAGAATACCAGAACATTGAGTTTTAAAAGGATTTGTTTGAGAATTGAGATATACGAGATTTGTCTGTCTGGATAATAACGTCAAATCACGGAAACATCAGTGAGAGCGATGTGCTGTCAATTTGTTTCGTGTTCCGGTATTGGGAGTAAACCAGCTGTATGAACCAGCGTTGCCTCTCGCCCGAGCCACGACTGACGGCGACTGGCAGACCAGACATACGCCGGCCCGGGGTGTTAGCTGGGCGGCTCTCGGGTCACCCACGCCGGCCGGTGTACCGCGGTTACCACGAGGGCAGACCAGCGACATCTACACCCACTGAAAAATACAGCTAGCACAGCTACAGACGCCATGTGCGCCCGCCGCGAGTAAAGTGCAGCGAGAGTCGCCGCCACGCAACACTCTGTATCTAGGATAAAATAGTTCGATTCGTATAGTTCCCATGAAAGGCCAAAATATACCATCTTATCAGAACCACAAGGTAAATGTGACATCATTCCGTGATTTAAAATGCAACTGTATCTATGCACGGTGAGAAGCGAGGCTAGGAAGCGTGGTTAAAAACGCTGAGAAGAAAATATTTCCAGGCTCTTCACTCTCAGTTATTACACCGAACAACCGGTTAGAGTGCCCCATATGTAAGGATTAAGTCTAAAACCAGACTGAACTACAACAACAAAACAATAAACATTACTCCACAACCCGGCGCCCCACAGCACAGCCCCACTTCTAAGTTCTAAAATTAAAGCGCTCGTTCAAATCGTGGACGCTTCGATAATTTCCACAAAATATTCGTCTCAGGATCGATTACAGCTCGAAATCGAAATCGCTTAAAAGACACAACTGAGCTAAAGAAACGTCCCAATCCAACGACACCAAACCAGGCGTTTCTGGGCACCTCTGACCACCTTATCAACAGTCCTGACGGTCCGACATCTCACTCGTGTCTCCGCCGCGGCAGACCGCGCCGCCTGCTGCTCTGACTTTGTGAACTCTCGCCCGTTCAATGTCCTGTCGGCGGCGCTGTCCACTGAACACGCATTACTCGATGTTTCGGGTGATTACCAGCCACTTGTCGCCAATAATTCCGTCTTCCTGTCAGTCCCTCCTGGTTTTATCCCTTTAATCCAGCTCTGCCAGCAGATCTGTTCAGCCGGGAGGGCAGGACGCCAGCCGTGGATGTGTTCCACATAGGTCAATCTCACCCCCGGCATTCCGGTGATGTCAACTATCCCATGGCGAGCCTCCTCAGCCCGCCTGCAAGCAAGCAGTTCCTCACCACCTGCCTTTAGTGCCGCAATTCACAGCCAGCTTACAGACGCGTCTGTCGTTACCACTTCTCCCGCTCTGTCCAGCAGTGTAGGATGTTCGTGCAGCGGTCTCTGGAGCAGCAGCCGGAGGCTCTATTCGTGCCAGACGGCCCCGTCTTCTCTGGTTCTCGCAGCTCGGTCCGATCTCACAGCGCCTTATCTGGTCCATGTTTCACCGATCCGACGTTTTCGCCAGCCGAAAATATTCCCGCATTCAGACAGGAACTGAAGTCCACGGGTCAGAATTATTGAAAGCCATCTAATGCGGCGCTTAGCATAAGACCTCTGCGCGGCAACACAGCACTACACCCACGCTAGCAGAGAAAAACTAAACCTCAGGCGAATTCCTTTGAGCCGTAGTGGCTTCACCTATCGTCAAATGGGTCACCCTCTAGACTAAGCTCCCCGCCCAAATCGACCGTCTTCCAGCTGGTGCCACCTTGGCTGAAGTTTACCACGGTCCCCCGGTCGAGCTACACCTCGGCATCGAGCAGGTGGGACGCGATCAGGCCGACGTCGGCGCCGAGCTGCGCGAACAGCTCGCGCATCCTGTCGAGGTCGTAGAATCCCATCTCGACCAGCCGAGTGATCACCTGGGGGCGGACAAGGGAGCCGGTTATCGGGCGCCCGGGCGGTCAGGGGTCAACAGGCTTCAATCACTGATATCTGATTCACGGCGTTATTCAGCCGGTCAGAGGCTGCGTACCGTCCAGAGAGGATGGCCTTTTGTCAACGAGTGGCTCACTGATATATGTACGGATAGGACACAGATAAGGTACGTATCAGGCGGGCAGTGGCATTGCGGCGGCGTGACCTTGCAATACCATTTACAGTTAGCCGCAGTTCATTAATGAAATATTCTGTCTACAACGGCTTCAAAACTATTAATGCAAATATTTTCTGACTGCTTTCGGCTATTTGACACTTTCAGCAGAAGCAGTCAGATACGTTATGCGTAGTGTGGGTAGGCTCCACTCGCGAGGAGGGTCGATACTCACCAGGGCCTCCACCTCACTGGGCGTGCTCTCGCGGACGCCGCGCCGGTGGCCCTGTGTCAGCATGTTCAGCACTCGCTCCGGTAGCAGGCCCACCAGGCTGGAGAGCCAGGTGGGCACGTCCAGCGCCGGCTCCGGGGAGGACGGGCCCGTGGGGGAGCCGGACGACGACCGGCGCCCGTCGGACGACCGCTGCTGTCCAGAGAGCGGCTCCTGGCGGGGCGCCGGCTCCGGCTCCGGCTGCTGCTGCCGGGGCGCCTCCCGGGGCGCCTCCCGCTGCCGCTCTTGGCGCAGTTCGTCCATCCGCGGCGGCGTCCAGACTCGTCCAGCGGCGGCAGCCACCTCCGGCTCCAGGCCCGCCTTCTCCTCGGCCCGGATGGCGTCCCGCAGTAGGCAGAGCGCGTGTTTGACCGCCTGCGCGCCCATCCCGTCCAGCTGGGAGCTCGAGGTGGCCGACACCTTGATGTGGCGCAGCATGGTGTCGAGAGCGTCAGCCAGGACGCCGACGCCGGCCGGCCGCGCCGCCTGGTCGTGCAGCAGCTCCTCCATCGGCGAGCGGCCGGCCGCCGCCGCCGACTCGACCAGGCTCGCCCAGAACGCCTGTGGGGTGGCGGAGGAGTGGTCAGACCAGTGAACACATGGAGCGAGGGTGACAAGTCCGCGTATACAAACCCGGCTATGAAGTCAGCGATGAATGGATGCCGGAAAGTTGGGTAGTACTCGGGAAGAAAACAAGTTAGCCGATCGAAAGTAAGAGCATAGTTGACATCCATTGCTGATGCCAGGTATATGGACGATGCACGCATGAGGTAAAACTAAAACATGTGGAAGATACACACCCTTCGATCCCGGCCATTACATACAAGCGCTGCCCAAATTTAACACAGCATAATGTCCATTCACCAACAAACGATAAAGTGAGACATACCTAGTCTCAAAAACGATACAGTAGGTACCATCCAGACACGCAGCAGCAGCCACGCTCTCCCTGCGTCCCTCCCCATCACCCCGTGTCTCACCTCGACGAAGCGTCGACCGGTCAGTGCTGACGCCAGCTGCATCTGGCGGCTCTCGGGCACCAGCTGCAGACTCTCGGCCAGTCGGCGCAGCAGCGGCTCGGACAGTGCCGACAGCGGGTCCATGAGCGACACCAGGCCGGCCGACTCGGCGCCGACCACACTCGGCGGCTGCTGCGGCTCCGTCTCCTGTACTGTCTCCTGTACCGCCTCCTGCTGGGTCTCCTGCTGCGTCTCCTGTTCCGTCTCCTGTGTCTCCTGTTCTGTCTCCTTTCCCGCCGCCTCACCGCCGGCCGGCTGCTCAGGGATGGGCGGCTGGCGCGCGCTGGCAGACACCGGCGACAGTTTGACGCCGGCCGGCAGCGAGACGGTGGTCTGGGCGGCACCGGCCGGCGGGGAGCTGATGGCGATGTGACAGGCGGCCGGGGCGCTCTCGCAGGTGGAGCGCAGCAGCTCTGAGCCGGCCGAGCTGGCCGCCCAGCCGCTCAGCGAGCCCGCACTGCCCGAGTCCTCTGCACGGGGAGAGGGGCGGGACTGAGAGGGAGCCGGGCGGGACGGGAACGATGGCGCCGGGGGATGGCATACAAATTACAAACAGCTGCTAAAATGGTGCAAATTAATGTATGGAGATACAAAGCTAATGAAATATCAATTCCATATACGAATGACATATAACGGAATTTATGGTGAAATAAGGACAGAGTAATTCACCAAGAAACGAACGAAGCACTTGAATGTCGCTGCCGGCATCTCACCGAGCGAGGCGGCGGCGTCCACCCAGCGGTCCGAGAGGGCCGAGACCATCATCGGGTCACCAGCGGCGTCAGACGTGGCCTGGGAAATGGACAATACCGTCAGCTTGGGTACGACAGCGAGGACAGATTTCCTTGGAAGGTCGTCTGTCACGGGAAGTCGGGTTATTAATGCTCTTTCTGGCTGTCAACGTTATCATTGTGTTCAATATCAATAACAAATTCAGAAGTAAATCATGCGAAACATTATCCAAGTGCGATGCCGTATAACTAGTGTTATCGAACACTAACAAATGCTGCTGATAAAATTCCTACGTTGAGACGGTTGACCAGTCTGATCTTATCATTATCAGCTAGTATCTTGTAACCCCCCAGCAACATGCCCAGACAGGTCTGATCTCACAAGGCCAATCCCAGTTCCACCCCTTCCCGTCACGTCTGCCCGCTGACCTGCACTGGCGGCTCAGCCTGCTGCTGCTGCTGCTGTTGCTGCTGTCGCTCCTGCTGCTGCACCTGCCGCTGGTGCTGCGTCAGCGCCTCCTCCAGCTCCTCGGCCACCTCCTCGACCATCTCGAAGCGCTCCGAGCCGCCCGGAGACGAGATGATGACGATGTCGGAGAAGTCGTCCTCGGACAGACTGAGCCGGCGTCCGTTCACCGTGACGAAGCCCTCCTCCAGCTCCGGCTCCTGGTCCGCCTCCCGTGGCTGCTCCTGAACCGGAGCGGGCTCCCGCTGTCTCTGCTGTGACTGCTGCTCCGTGTGTGCCTCCTGCTCCTGTGGCTCCGGCGCCGATGCTGGCTGCTTAACAACCGTCTCCAGTTCCTGAGCAAAACACAAAAAGTGTTAATGATATGAAATATAGAAAAAGGTGATTCAGATGAATTCGTAAAGTATGACACAAAACTTATTATGCGTTTATTGACTGAATGGTGTTTGAATCAACCCCGGATCTAACATAGTGGGATCTGCTAGAGCCTTTTAAGTTCGGACTCGATGGTCGATAAACAATTAGGAGGCGATACTTCATGATATTGAAGGAGAGATCTCACCACAAACCACTATCAGCCAGCGAAAAAAGCGTCTTAACTCTAACACACACATTTACTGAGGTCGCCATCAGTGCCACTGCTGGCGGCAGGCACTCACCGGGTCGCCGACGGTTGCGGCGGGCGGCGTCGGTGGCTCGCTGGCCAGCCACTGGGCCACAGTGACGGGCGGGTGCACCTCCTGGCCCTCTCCCTCCTCCTCCCGGCCCTCTCCCTCCTCCCGGACCGTCTCCTCCGGCTGGGGCGCGGCGGCGGAGGCCTCCTCCGGCCGGCTCTGCTCCGTCTCAGGTCCGGCCAGGACGTCGTCCGGCGCGGCGGCCGCGCCCGAGAACGGCTCCAGCTCGGCGGCCGAGTGTTCCACCATCACCAGCATGCAGCTGTCGGCCTCATCTACATCCGTGGGGCGGCGGCGCGGCCGCGGCTGGGGCCGGCCGGCCGGCACGCTGTAGGCGGAGCGCAGCAGCGCGGGCCGCCCGCCGCCCGTGGCCGCCGTGGTCTCCACCGAGCGGCCGCCGGCGCTGTACACGGTCACCCCGCTGTGTACGCCGGCCACCGAGCCGCCGGAGCCGTACGACACGCCCACGCCGCCGGGGGACGACTCGGACACGGAGAACAGGCCGTATCGGTCCACCGGCGCAGTATCAGCAGCGGCAGCAGCGGCGGCAGGCGACTCAGAGGAGCTCAGCAGAGACCGCAGCCAGTCCGGACCGTCAGCAGGCACCGCCGGAGGGGTCGTCTGTACCCCGGTGTCCGCCTTCTCCACAGCGGGGACCGCCGCTGTACCGGTGGACGCGTCTTTAGCCGGGACTGGGGAGGAGGCCGGCGCCGGCGGCACGCCGCGCGTTTTGCCCGGTATGGAGATTGGGTCGGAGACGGGCGGCTCGGCCAGCCGCTTGGGAGTGGTCAGTCCGTCCGGCTGAGTCAGCGAGCTGACCGCGACTGACGAGCTCGGCGGCCGCTCCTCCTCTGGCTCGGCACCGCCGGCCGCCTGAAACGGACACGCTAGCGTAAGAAATAGAACACAATAAGAAACTTAATTCAACGTCTTAGCAAGCCAACACACAGTGCGACTGTGCCAAAGTCATGTTGTGATTCTGTCTACCGAGCACTTCCCCACTATCATCTCCGGCACACCCACCTGGTCGGAGTCTGTGGCGCGCGGAGCCCCGCACAGGCAGACCGGAGCGTTGGCCAGCTCCGACTTCACTGCCGTCACCACCTCAGAGACCAGCTCCTTCTGGAACTGAGGGGACGGAGCCGGGACGGGGTCAGAGACGGGCACCTTCACACCCCTCTGGTGTACGGAACAGGGGCTGATGATGTCAGTGCCGAGCTGTAAGGACTCCAATGGCATATTTTTTTTTCATACATACACTGTCATGAAATATTTGCCGGCTACTCAAGTTCGATATTACCTTCCAAGCAGATTTGCCTGGCATAAATGTCACATCAGGGTCATGTGCGAGTAAGAAAGCGACACCTAATACGCCTACTATCCCAACAAAAGTATTACAGCTCACAAAGCAACGAGTGGAAGCCATCCCATCCTACACCACAGCCCACCTGTCCCATAAAGCTGGCGAACCAGGGCGGGATGTCGCGCCTCTTCTCCCGCTTGTGCGCGGTGGCCGGCAGCGTCTGGTGGCCGGCCGGCGGCGGCGGCGGCAGCGGCTGTCCGCGACTGGGCTGCTCCAGGTGCGCCACCTCCGGCTGCTGGTGGGGCGGCCGCCAGCCGTCCTCGGGCGTCTCTGTACCGCCGGCCATACACGCCTGCTGCCAGGCGTCCACGCGCGCCCAGAGCGGGTCGGCCGGCGCGGCTGGCACCGGACGCACGTCGAGCTGCTGCGGCGGCCGGCGCGGCTCTCGGGCCGCGTGCAGCTCGCAGCGGCGCCGCTCCTGGCGCCGCTGCGCCCGCTCGGCACTGCCCACCCGCTGTCCGTCCCGCTTGGCCAGCTGGCGCGCAGAGGTGAGCGACGGCTCGCCGCTGCCGGTGGCGCCCGAGGAGGTGTTCGGCGTGGTCCGCTCGCGCAACCGCACCTCCAGCGCGCAGCTCTGACGCGCCAGCATCTCGGCCATGTAGACCATCACGTTCAGCTCACTGTCGCTCGTCACTGGGATCTAAAAACGGCACGGGGCGGGACGGAGCGGGAACACCTCAGCGGAGACGACCATACTTAAGTGTAATCTGACAGAACAGAACGGAATCTCTTTGTGTTGGGCAGCTGTGAAACAGATTCTTCTTAGGATTATGATAGATAGTGATGAGTAAAGCTTTCCAGCGCTGGAGAAACAATCAGCAATTCACCCCACGCCCGTGACTCGGCATCCTGCCGACGACCGCGCTATCTGGTGGCGGCCGCGGCGTGTGGGCAGCCGATTCCCGATAGTGACGGTCTGAGCCATGTGCGCAGCACTGATAGTTGGGGACGAAGGTCATGGAGTTCGCAAAGCGCTAGTGCACAATTATGGTAGACATCAATGTGTTTACGAAGATTAATGTGAAATCAAAGTGGAGAGAAACTAGTATTTCAATTTATCACCATAAATTATGTAAAAAAAGTAGTAAATCCAGCAGCCGAGGAAGGCCTTAAATGGAGCGTCATAACAATCCCGTCCCACCGGAAGGCCGCCGGTCCCGGCCCAGACCGACCGCGCACCACTCCGGACGGTGATCTCACCTCATCTCCCTCGTCGTCGCTGTAGGACACGGACGGCGACCGCTCCAACTCCAACTTCTCCTTCTGCAGCACACAGACACAGAGAGAGGGTGACTGTCACGGGTCGGCCGCACACTGCGCACGGCCCGGGGGCAGTGGGTACAGGCTCACCCGCCGGCGGAGCCCGCGCACTGGCCGGCCGAGGGTGACCAGACACTGATACCGACCGGCGCGCGGCGCAGCGGTGTCGACACACACCGACACCAGAACTGCGTCACCGGGCGCCGACGTGGCTACACCGACACACGACCGCCACCGCGGCTACACTGCCGCTACACCGCCGCTGCGGCTACACTGCCAGCGCTACACAGCCACCGCGGCTACACTTCCACCACACCGCTACTGCGGCTACACCATCGCCACACAGTCACTGCTGTAGTCACGGTCCGACCTGCTGTGAGCGGTCCAGGTTTCCCACCACCCAATGGTTGTTTAGTGTGAAATTGGATGAGTCAGGCTGGGGAACGAGCGGGGAATCCCGCCCGCCGGTAGCGAAACAAATGAACAAAGCTCAGCGCACCAGTGAAGGGAGCACATCGGAGAAGTCCGTCAAAGGTAGGAAGGCCAGGGCGCTTCGTGAAAAGGTGGCTCAAGATGACAGCTCGAATGATGCTGGTCGAACGCATGGAAGCATTTCGATTTTTCGGTAATCGCTTGGGCAGTAAACGAGGAAATGATGCTCGGTAGTAGCAACGAAACCATTCGCTGATTAGCAGCATGCAGCGATGCTTCAGAGTTCAGGAAATGTCGACGTCCACATGTCAATCCATAGATCTCTGTAGTCTGTATACCGGTATACAGATTACAAAGGTCTATGGTCAATCAAGTAAACATTTTTTATTCCTTCACTACCAGCCAAAAATGGTATATTTGATCAAATATTTCACCAATCTGATACGTAAATGCCAACATTATAGCCAACTAATAGATTATAGCCATACACTCAATCACAACTATGCCTACGTCATTGTCCGTAAATAACATCCAGTGTGTTCACAGTCCGCAGGTCAATGAGGGTAGGCATGTCGGATAAGAAAGCAGACAGCGACCCGGCCAGTGACCGTAGTCCAGTTCGGTAACGGTCACAAATGCTCTCGCCTACCCCGATGAGCACGTGTAGGTAATGAACCATCAATAACAGGCCAATCTGGTTATATTAGGAGAACCGTGGCCCTGATCTGAATAGCAGCAGCACCGCTACGTTAATATGACAGCTCGCCAGCTTAAAGTTAGAAGAATCCTTGCATATTAAACATAATCTCAGTGCTCCAAGGTATTTCTAGGCATATGAAAATCTCACCAATTATGACGCAGGGTGAGGCAAAAGCATTAATTGTGTAAAACTACTCATTGAGGGTAGCGAGAACTCAAATTGGGTTGAAATTTCATCCTTCAACTCAACTGAATCGGAATATAACAGTAACACAGATTTTGATATAATAAATGAAATAGACACGACACCTGCACAACACAATTAGGATAATTTGATATACTATACCTACGGACGAACAAATCAGGGCACCTGGCGCCTCTGAATCGGTCATTATTCTCCCAGCCACAGAAGGTAAATTGCCGAGCAGTAATGAAGCCGGGCCGCGTCGGGCAGCAATGGTGACCGAATGAGTCGCGCGGGATCCCCCACCAGTAATTCTGCCGCGGCTGCCGCACCGCACACTCAGCCCGTGCTGCTGCTGGCTCAGACTGTTAGAAACGTGACCCCGGCGCAGCAAGCGCGGCCGGTGGCAGGTGTCCCCTCCTGCGCTCCCGACCCGACCGCCCTTCCATCCATCCCGGGCTCTTCCCTTCCCTCTCGACCTCCTTCAACCACTCTGGATCAGCCTCCAGCCCTCGCAAAGCAGTACTTGAGCTGTTCTTGTCTCTAGCCGACAGTTCGAGAAGACAATGCAAAAATGGGAGGGCAGCTGGTTTTAATTTAGCTGAATTGATTCAAAGAAATGGTATAGGGACGATCTGCTCTTTCCATTCCATCCTGAGCATGCATACATGCGACATTTGTTTATAGACTGACAATTTTCGATAAATAAATACCAGTATATTAGTGTGTTTGCCAAAAATAGCCTACAAAAACAACTTTTCCTAAGCATATGTAACAAAAGAAGAGAAGATCACACCTAGGCACCATTCCACCACAAAGCAATTTATTCATAAATGCAACAGCATCCTTCTATCTTGGAGCAACGATGCATGTATTTTTGTGGGTAGGAAAGCGTCGCAGTTTTTTTTTTTTTTGTCAACGGCGGAATCCAGTGAAGTCTATAGATAGGATATGAAGGTGAAAAAGTCTGACTACTCCGTTCCCGCACGTCAGCAGCGTTGGCTCACACTTCACAGAAAGTCACAATGAAAAACATGTGCAGATGCGAGTGTGTGTGTCATGTGTGTGAGGTCGAATTCGTCATCTTGGTCATTGGACCCCAATAAATATGCAGTGCCTGTTCAAATAATCAGAGGAAATGACGTCGCCCTGCTAATATTTACAAAGGTTCGCAGCCCTGTTGTAATAACTGATGTAAGACCAACACCAGCCAGCCCACATCGCGTCGCCAGCGCCACTAGAGGCTCCATGTCGTTAGTGCTCAGACCGCAGTGAGACCGAATGGCGTTATGTTAAGCACACTGACCAGAACTCTATTGAAGGCCTCGCAACAGGCCCAGGACTGCGGGGCTCGGACGCGGCGCTTTGCACCATGTCGGAGCATTGGAGATAAATGAGCATATTCGGTTCCACCTGATAGGTTCTTCTCAATTTTACCAGTGAGATGGGGTTAGCTTCACCATGGCTTCATTTTTTTTGCCAGAACTAAATGCATCAACAAAACCACATATTGAATCATAATAGAAACTATAGAAAAAAAAACAAGACATGCTACCAAGACATGTTATGCCCATTCCTGAAACAATGCTAGTCGTTCCATTGACATCATTCTCGGTGTGTTTTCACCCTGACCAAAACATCTAAACAACACTTTTCCCGGAACCAGCGTGGCATTGTCATTCATAAATGTCATCAGTCGTCATAAAATGTCATCAATGTCATCAGTCGTCATAAAAATGTCATACCTAAATGTCACCATAAAAAGATCAGAACTTTGGCGTAGCTCGAAGCTCGCTCACGCCCTTAAAGCTACCCACATCCATTCTCCGGACAAAAAAAAAAACGAGACTTTGTTTACATTTCAGACTTAAAACAGACACCCTGGTGCGCCAATTAGGCCGCCCGCCACGCCGCCGAGGGCCTCCTCGCTCCCGCCCGGACTGCCCGGCCACTCACCAGGAACAGACGGAACTGCGCCAGGTCCAAGGTGGCCAGTTGACGCAGCGAGACGCGCAGCTTCTTCCGGATCTGGCGCTCACCGTCACGGCCCCGCACGCGCAGCCAAACCACCTCCTGCGGCCCCATCGCGCTGCCGGGGCACGGGCGAGGTGTCAGACTAGACGGACAGGGGACTGGGGGGACGCGGGGCACACTACGCACAACCATCAGGCAGGACTGCACTCCGGATGGACTGGGAATCAGGTACTGGACTCCGGACGGGAAGGCAAGGTGATGCGGGGACTCGACGGCGGGCAGAACTGAGCGCTCGTCCGTCCCCGCCAGCTATCGACCGTATCAGTCAGGTGACGACTGTGTGGCCAGGTGACGCAATAAGCCGGGAAGAACCAGCCAGCACAGTCAGACGATTCAATTATAGCAGCTCACGTGTTTATTTTTTCAGCAATCCAGCCATGAATCCGCCATGGCTTATGACATTATTACGCCTAGCTAACGTGAGCTACCCAAGATGCCATATTTTATATTGTTGGTGATATTGTTGGGCTACAACAGTCGACAAACTATAAGACACGTAGCACACCTCTGCAACATTATGTAACGTTGTGTAATTTCAGCATTAACACAAATTGTTGATTGTGTAGGTGTGAGCGGCCACTTTCCTCTCACTCCAGAGCCTGAAGTCTGAACTCATGTTCCGTGCTTTTTAACGGTGTATGGTCACGCGCACAAGTTGGGTTTCAACACAGCGAGAGCCAGTTTACTGATAGCTTTGAGCGACAAACAAGATACGCGGCATGAACTCTAAGCCCAGTCACACGAGGTCAGATAGGAGCTAAGTCAGTCGCCCGCAGACTCGGGAAATATATGTGTTATGATAATAAACTGCGGGTTGAAGGATGACGGGTCACCCGGACGCTTATGCTCATTGTTTATACAGATTGTGGGCCACCACATCCGGCTCTCTGACATCTCTATTCCGCAGGGCATTCCCCTGTAGACTGCTCAGAGGACAGTGGGTGGATATGACAGCGGCCCTGGTACTGACTCGCGTCACGGACACCGTCAGTGCGGGGGTGCAGTTTGCACCGTGATGAAGCCGAGGCTGGGAGAACCGTCAGCCACCTACACTCGGCGTGAGCAGTCACAGATAACGGCCAGCGGGCGGCGGTGAGCCGGCCCGTTCCGTGGAGCAGGGCTGTCGGAATGAGCGGCCGGTGCCGGCCAGTCAGTGCCCCCGGCCGCCGACACCGCGCGAAAGCGGCCCTGACCCCACACGGTGTCGTAACGCGTCATAACGCCGGCCCAATGAGCGAACCAGGCCGGCAGACCGGCGCCCGTCGACGGCGTTCACTTCAGGGCGGCCACCCGGCCTGGACTGAAAACCGCAACGGGCAAAACAGACACTTTTTGTATCAAAACGCAGGGCTGCGCTTCAAATAACGCCATCATAAGAACATGTATGAAAATAAGCTCTCATGAGAGAAGTTTCAAAGCAAGGCAACTAAATCACGTTTCATTCTTATCGCAACCGCTGGGGCCGCATTTCCTCACCCGCGCCCGCCGCGGAGAGGCGGGCGCGTTGTGCAAGCCCGAGACAGCGTCAGCCGGCCGCCCGGCCCATGGCCCCACAAGGCCTCGGTCGCTCCGACAACCCCAACACTCATACGCTGAGACTGGTGGAAGGCGGCCACTATCAGGTTAGAGGCGATAACCCAGTTGTTAGTGGGCCGGCGGTTACTGAGAAGTAACAATGACCTGTTCAGGCAAGGGTCAGTGTCTCGCAGAACACTGCACAAAAAGCGAAAACACATGACCGACAGGGATGTGGGACTGAAACCTTCGATCGATGGCTTGATCAGCGTTCCATCCATTGCTATTTCTGCACCCCATCATCTGACCTGACCTCATCGATCACAGGCCCCAGAGACACGCCCCCGCCGTCACTCCCCATCACGTCATTCCTCGGTACCTACACCAGAAGTCCTCGGGCGACCTTTGAAGGCCACTGGCGCCCCGGCTGACCCACACCCAGTGGCACTCCAAACACTCGGTCAGGACCGCCGACGGTGGCGACGGAGCGCGCGTCGTCGATCGACGACGGCATTGACTCGGCGGGCCGACCGGGCCGGTATACTGCCACCACCGCCCGCGCGGGATCACCGGAGGGGGGGGGGGGCGCCCACCGTCGGCAGGACTGGAGCAGGCAGGGCTCGGGGTCGGAGGAAGGCTCGGGCAGCGGAAATGAGATTAGATGCGCTGATCAGAGGAGTCTAAAATTGGGAATGTGGGTATGAGAGGGCTGTGTGGGATCAGCTATCTATAGGAATGTTGGAGTCGGCACTGAAACAATAAGAATAGAGACTAACTAATAGCAAGGCTGCGATGGCATACAATGTTTGCGTCGCTGGGCTGTGTTACCTTTAATCATAAATCAATAGAAATGCAATTTAATCAAGCGGTATCTCTAAAGATGTTTGCAAAACGAATAACTAAATTAAGAGTAGCATCAATTTACTAGAACTGTCCACTGAAAATATCGACACTTTTTTTAAAACCCCACATCTGTTCTCCGGTGAATTTCCGGGAAGCACGAAAGATCTCTTTTTAGAAGTGTTCAATCGTCCGATCCTGATCAAATTTGTGTGTTCGTAAGCTTGCTCTGGCATTGCTTGATCTACCAAGACAGACAAACTTGAGAAAAATCGAGTGACTGTACCTTTTTTGAAGGTTTCTAAACAACTTGTCTGAACTTCACGGGAGAACAAATGTGGGGTTCAAAAAGGTGTCGATATGTACTATAAGTCAATAAGAGAAAAAAAGCGAAACCTTTCATCTGTTAGTTGGCTGCATTTGATTACTTCGGAGCATTCAATGCTCTGCCGCAGACTTGGCTCAAGCCTCACGCTACAGCCGTTAGATAACGGTGAGCAGCTGTGCAGGGCGGCTATCACGAAACGAGGGTAACGGCTGCGGGGGCCATCAGTTCAGCACGCGGATTATAGCGGTCGAGGGGCAGTTACCCCGGCCGAGAACAGCGGTTGTGGGGGCGCGCCCAGACACAGGTGATGGCTGTACAATCACTCAGGGAGAGGTGCTCCAGGTTGATTCGGGTCAGTTGTTTGTGGCCTGATATTAGGTCTGGGCTTGCAGATATGGCGAGTGGTGCCTGTCGTTGGCCTTAGGTTTTAGGCTAATGTGTTACGTGACTGCCAGTATGGGTGATGATCATGGCTGAATAGATGAATTTGGATGGATTGATGGATGGATGGATGGATGGATCTTCTGGATAAAAGATGTGATGCATATTTGGAGTTTGTTTTATATGGGTAAGGGTTCGATACCAACGGCTGAGAGCTAAGGTCTGATTTAGTCCGATGCATACACACCGTTTTTAGGTCAACTTCTTGCATTAGCATAATCATGATTGACATAATAATCACAGCGAAAAATTAACACCGAGCGTTTCATTGCTTAACTCTCTAACACACAGACTTAATGGATTCGTCAAAGTACACGTAGAGATGTGATGCAAAAAAATATATATATAAATAATAAATATGTGCAGCCACAAGTCCCGTACCGTAAACCGGGGTGAGTTGATATGGGGTGGTGAGTTGATATAAATTGCTCGAAAAATGTTAAAATGTGTGCTGCTCATCCATTTGTAAACCAATTTTTAGTTTTATTTTTCTGTGAAGTGAAGCAACCAATAAGTGATGCATATAGCTGAGAAAGGCATGCATGTGGTGCATTGCCTTCTTAACACATTACTTTTTTCAAAGTCCTTTTTTTCTTCTAATTTTGAAACTAAGGAAAAGTCCCCACCCTACAGCAAAGACGGTGGATATTTATGGAACAACATGCACTGGGAAAGAAACTACCATCAATTTACTGTTGATCCCAGGTAGTTTTGGGTTTCACCTATAACAACGCTTTTTTATAACTTTAAGAAAAGTGACAGGTGGTGAGTTGATATGCCATCAAGGGGTGAGTTGATATGCATGATAAAAGCTGATACCAGGCTGGTATGCATGCAAATTAGCATGAAATATGGGTCTGCAAGTAAGACAAAGTCAATTAGACCAACTCTTCTCCTTTTCTCTCCCCACATCATTCCATCAACCCCCAAAAGCTTTAGTTTTTTTTTCTGAATGCTTGAGACGAGGCCTGTTAGTATCACTGTTGTTAGTTGTCGGACTTTCGTCCCCGTCTTGAGTTGAGATGTTAGTTTCACAAAGTTTCAGCAAGTAACTTCTCCGGCCATCGTCAAATCTGCCTCGATAGTGGAGTGGCTAGAACCGTGGACCATCACCGGGGAAACCCGAGTTCGATTCCCGCTGACTACAAGAGCTTTCGAACGGTTGGACGCGTACGGCGCAACGCCACCAACATCCAGGTCCTTCTGAGGGTCAAAAAACATCTGACGAGTAGCGACGGCCAACTGGCCCAAACGTTTGAAACTAACATCTCAATTCTCAACTCAAGACGGGGACGAAGGTCCGACAACTAACATCAGTGACCCCAAAGTTTTTTTTTTCTGTGGACATACCTAACATGCAAAAGGCACAGCACAACTCCCTGCCAAGTCTCAAGATGGCTCCCTACAAGCTGCAAAGGAACACTATAGAACACCTATATACATACAGATTAAAAAAAAAAAACATGTTATAATTATTCGTGGTTTCGAAAATGACAGAACTGTCGTTTCTGTATGGCTAACAGTGCGGGAATTCTGATCTCGTGAAACTGATAGTTTTCCTGTTTGGCAATTGCCAACCGAGAATGAGTGACAAAATGAAATGGAACAAACAATATAAAGAAATTGACTGGTGTTTTAGCCCTCGCCCGTATTCGTGTTTTGCCAGCGTTTAACGTATAGGGGGGGGGGGGGGGTCCGTTGGAATCCCATCGTCGTTTGGCCCCTGGTGGAGCTAGAGCTTCGAGGAGAAAAACGAGCGTGTTGCCCGAGACGCGAGGAAGCCGATGATAACTAACTTTAAGGTCCTAGGTCATTGGTTAACCTTCCAGGCCAGGTCAATTACCCAGAAGTCGGGAAAATAAGGGGTTATTTGAAGTTCGTAAAGCGAGGTTATTATTTTTTGGCTGTTGCTGATCACGAATGTCATGTTTGTTTTGATCACATGTGTCTTCGTACATTTAGGCCAGGTCAGGTCAGGTCAGGTCAACCAGTAGGTGTCCTGCCGGCTATCCATAGGGAGTGTCAAGTGTCAACTACCACTGACGGTGTCGTAACATGTTACGAAGGCACTAAAATTACTTCGTAAATGATCAAATGCATGTTAAATTCGACATCGGCCCGAAAAACTACCCTAGAAACATGTAAAACTCCAAAAGTGAGCCGAGGTCACCAAAGGTCAATGACCTGACCTGACCTTCAGGTGACCTTGACAGTTGACACCCACAATACTGCATGGGACCAACATCATTTACATGTTTGGACGTTACAATCACAAAAAGACTGGAAATGCGCGGATAATGTGAGCCGACTACGCCAAATCGCGATTCCGGCCAAGCATGGTCTCGAGAATCAGGTCACAAGTCAAAAACCATTTGAGTCAGGGTCATGAAATCTTTAGAACATGTGTAAAATTGATAAACTCGAAAGGCACTGAAAGTTTCGTCGCGATCGGCCGCTTTTTGCGCGAGTTATGTGCGAAAAGCCGAGGTGGTCCGTTCGCCCGCCTATAAGTGCGAGGGTTAATTTTGGCTTTTGATGCCGAATTCTGTTTTATGTCGCTTATTTCACCTGATAGAATACAGTCCGAATTAGATTCGCTTCACTTCACTTCATAAATATTGTGTTGACTACCAGTCCACAAAAGCTCAGAAGTATATGTATTCTTTCATTTCAATCCATTATATCTGTCAGAGGCATATCAACCTTGACCCGCAACTGACAATGTGTTTTAATTACAAGAAAATACACTTGTAATTCCAAAATATACTGCCAGTTTTGATACCGTTGGCTTGAGGACACGTGACTAGCCAAGTTTAGAATGTTCTAAGTAAAACGAAGTATCATAAAGCGAAAAAATGATGCTGCTAAAATCAAGCCACTTTGATAGCGCTGTGTTGGACATGATTGCGTTTTCATGAATGTGAGGTCTGCTGCCAAACTACTATCATTTTTCTTATGGTTTCTTTCAGGATGTGTTCTCTAATCTTTTTTTTAAACACTGGCATTTTATCAACTCACCTCTGAGCTTCTTTAGCCGAGAAATTTTGAAAACTCCAAAATCATATCAACTCACCCCCTGGGGGGTGGTGAGTTGATATGAACTTTGGCGTTTTAAAAAGGGGCTTAATATATACATTTTTTTATTCATTTTTGCTGATTGCCTCCCCAAGGCATGTGCCATGAAACTGGCACAAAAAGAATTCCGTAAATGAATGTGGCTTTTAAAGAAATCTAGAATAACCTCAAAATCCATATCAACTCACCCCGGTTTACGGTACCAATCACCACCTGATTATCCTCCGTCCTTCAACGTTGCAGCGCAAGACATCCTAAGCCGCCACGAGCCCGCTGAAAATATCAACAGGTTATTGGTCAGCATTCACCGCTTCTTTCGCGTCGAAAATGTTTTGCTCATTAAAGTTTATTGGCTGAGTGAACAGCGGAAAAGTTAATCGACCGAAAGTGGACCACGGCACAAGGTAAATGCCAAAGCAGGACCTTGGGTCAGCCACTCCCATTTCGTTCTTTCTTGGTGCACAGGTTGATCGACCCGCTGGGTCACTTTGTTCAAATGTAGCAAACCAAGCGAGTAGCGACTGTCGGCTGGTGAGCGATGGGGCCATGACTGATATTACAGCCGTCAGATCCAGCGAGCTGTGCCGACACCAAGAAAATTGCAGTTCAGAATGAAAAATAGTAAATGCCAATCGATTATGAAACTGCTGTGCAGAACCATAGCGAAGAGAAGGCTCGAGATGATTCTCTGCAGCAGGGCTGCGGAGTCGGAGTCGGAGTCGGAGTCGGAGTCGGTCGGAGTCGACAGTTGTGACCGGAGTCGGAGTCGGAGTCGGAGTCGATTTTAGAAACCCGAGCCGGAGTCGGAGTCGGAGTCACCGAAAATCTGTCGACTCCGCAGCCCTGCTAGGTCTGCGGAGTCGGAGTCAGGAGTTGGAGTCGGTCGGAGTCGACAATTCTGCCCGGAGTCGGAGTCGGAGTCGGAGCTGGTTTTTGAAAGCCGGAGTCGGAGTCGGAGTCAGAGTCGCCGAAAATCCATCGACTCCGCAGCCCTGCTCTGCAGGCGATGGGCTAACGCCGCAAGAAATTCTCGAGTCTTTCTAGAGGAGGATTTCACCAAAAGACGAACACCCTCCAGAGCCTCTCACGAAGCCAATAATATCGTCGGCGCGCCTGCCACCGATCGAACTCGATCAATCTCCCCTGCAGGAGCTCCTGCGAACTCGCCCCCCGCTGGAGCGGCGTTCCTAGCTTGCCGAGGGAAGCAATCTCATCCGTCCCAGGCAGACGACAACGCCCTGCCGACCCGCGTAGGCAAATTGGTGAACACAGCTCGAGAGCAGAGCCCGATTATCCAGCAGCTGCCTGTGGGAGCACACAGGAGGTAACCAGCCACCATAACCTCCTTTCAGAACCTGTACACCATGCTGGCTCCCCAAAGGATATGGGAATACTGAATGAACCAGCGCTATAATTTCGGGGCTTGTGTCCTTTGCATCCCAAAGTATGTTTATCCTCGCAAGTCGTCGGGTAGGAGCTTCTCGGCTTCCAGAAAATTCATCCGCTCAGACTACCGCTTCACCCAGCTTCAGGATGTAAAACTCAAAACGCCGTTCCAAGTTACACATAAAACAGCACACAAATGAGCGCATTGATGCTCGGAACTAATAAGTTCGCACGATGTTTGCAAAAATAAACATTACGATCATAAGGATCAAAGTTTGGGTATCCGGGTCGGACAGCACATGGCCATATAAAAGGTGCGTATCAGCTCAAACTCGCTTCTCCCATCAAACAGTCTGTCACACCTTTGGGTGGTTTATTTCTCAGAGAGCTTTGCGACACCGACTGGGGCCGGCCGACCGCGTTTGGCCGGTCCGACTACTACAGATCACAACAGCGTGCCGTCGGCAGCGCTCACGGCGCCGACAGACACACACATCGACACACGACAGCGCGCGCAGTTGGTCCCGATACAGTTACTTGGTCCCGGCTCGTCACAGACGGTTACATTTGGCACATGGGCCGCCGCCCCCGCCGCTCCGCAGGTGGTCCTGTGCTGGTCTCTCCACAGCAGCGGCAGCAACAGCGACGGCGGAGCGCAGCACAACGAGAGACGACACACCACTTACATCAATCAACGGCGGGGCCCATTGTGAAACGGGGCTTTACGCGTCAGCGAGTAAAAACCATGTTTGGCGAAAAGAACAGAAGAAACATCTAAAATGTTAAAAAACCGGGAAAAGGGTACCAGAGACGTAAAGGACTAGAATATTAACACATCTGCGGAGAACACTGCATAGGTACGGTCACCGTAGGAGATCCAAAAATTGGATTGCACTATAAGAGCTCACTGCTTAAATATCACCCGCCACCCTAACAAAGCACAAACAAATGCGGGCCTCCAGCCCGACACAGCACACTGCATATATGACGGTAACGCACGTTGGGGGGGGGGGGGGGGGCTGGCCAGCTTTGACCATCCGCAGTCATCCCTGGTCAGGTAACCACTCACTTCAGAGTGTTTTGACCCCATTGGTCATGGGACTCGATCTGACGACACAGTCAGATTTTCGTTGACTCGGAAAATACATCGACGGACGCTGGAAAAGAGAATCATATCCGGATATTCTGACCCGACCAATGACATCAAGTTAACGTAAAATAAATAAGATCAAAAGTTGGTGATAAATGGAAATATTTGCATATCAATTACCTGCTATGAACGCTAATCCATCCACACGCCGTCAAGCCAACAAAAAGGTTTGACAAACATAGCGGGCCAGGGAGACAGCCGAGAGAAATCTGTTCGTGAATGAACAGTGCCTTCCCAACACCGACAGTCTCTTCACTGTCACACTTGCCTTCCTTCCCAGCCTCTTTCACATTTTAATTCAAGAAGGTCCTGGGAAATGTTCTTGTATCTCACGGTTCTTTCTTGGTTCTTTCATATTACACAGAATAATGTGCTAGGTAGGTACCGAAGTTCAGGTTTGTGTTCAAAGTTTGGTTATATTTCTGACGTATTCTTTCATAGCTTAAGATCTTATTATTTCCTTACGCCTTTGAATAACAAATATCTTCCTTTGTTAATCTTCAGGATCACCTTCTCCACCCTCAAGCGGTGTGCGATCCACTATCGCCCGATCCCTCTCCTCCCACTTCATCTTCCACTGCCCTCCCCCCGACTTCCGCCGCCACGTCCTCTCTGACCGTCTCCCCGGCCGGCGCCTATCGCATCAGTGCCAGGTACTCCTCGCGCGTCTTGGGGTCGTCGCGGAACACGCCCAGCATGCAGCTGGTCACCGTTTTGGCGTTAATCTTCTGCACGCCGCGCATCACCATGCACATGTGCGTGGCCTCGATGGTGACGGCCACGCCGCTCGGGTTGATGGCCTCGATGAGCGCGTGCGCGATCTGCTTGGTGAGCCGCTCCTGGACCTGCAGGCGGCGGCTGTAGATTTCCACGATACGCGCCACCTTGCTGAGGCCGAGCACCAGGCCGCGTGGCAGGTAGGCCACCGACACCTTGCCCATGAACGGCACCAGGTGGTGCTCGCACATGGAGAACATCTCGATCTCCTTGACGATCACCATCTCGTCGTGCTCCTCGTTGAAGACGGCCTCGTTGAGCACCTCCTGGATGGTCTGGTCGTAGCCCTTGGTGAAGTAGAGCAGCGCCTTGGCGGCCCGCTCGGGCGTCTTGAGCAGGCCGTCGCGGTTGACGTCCTCACCGAGCGAGGTGAGCAGGTCCCGGTAGCTGTCGGCCATCCTGCCCACCAGCTTGTCCTTGGCCGTCGGACGGTGGTCCAGCTCCAGGTCGTTGTGGAACATGCACTTGGCGTGCGCCAGCGAGCTGCGCCGCCGCACCAGCGGGCCCATCACCTCCTGCTCGCCGTCCTCGCCGTCGACGCTCTTGTGACGGCCGTTGGTGGCGTCGCCGCTCTTGTGGTGGCCGTTGGTGGCATCACCGCTCTTGTGGCGGCCGTTGGTGCCCTCGGGACGATCTCCGTTCATGGCTGCACCGAGTTAGACACTAGCTTCTCTCACTGATCACACCACGCGCGTAACACTGGGCCACAGAGGTCAGCTCTGTGCGCCAGACAATTCCCGATAAACAACGCCACAGATTAAACAGAGCCCAGGCGGTCTGGCTGCTGTGACCTCGGACGTCTGGCGCGACTGCTGGAGCAGGCGGCAGCGACTGGCGCGAGAGGTGTGCTCCGACCGGCCGCGCGCCTCCCACTGACGTATCGACCGACCAGCCACTGCCGACGGCGTGCCGAGACTGTTGCGCCGACCGGGCCGGGCGGCGGCCGCTGCCTCCGGCGGCGGTGCGGCGCCTGGGAAAAGCCCGCGCCCCTGTCCAGCCGGAGAGGGACCGGACTGCGGCGGACCGATCCGCCTCACACGACGACAGCACGCAGACGGCTCTGGCACATGTCAATGTCAGCGGCCAAGTTCGTGACAGGCTCCAAAGAACTGTGTCATTGTTCATAAACGGAAGACTGCTGAGCTAAGCGGATTATAGTACGTACCGAGTACATGTTTTCTAGACGCCTTTGGATTTGATTGGACGTGACGTCTAAATGGTTTTTGAGATACATATTCGCAAAAACAGCGCCGCCGTTTTTGCATTCGTGAAAAACCGTAGGGAAAGGGCGTGAAAACGCCACCACCACTTAGATCAGCGCAATACGTCCCCTTCATCTAACCCTCCAAAATTCATCCAACTCTTGAGTTCTCTCCGAAATTCTCTGGATTAGTTGCGCTTGACTTAACAAATGCGATTGGCCACGCTAGTCTGCAATTCCAGCCCACGCTAATGTCGCGGGTAACGTCATTTGCATCGCCACCCAATAGCCACGTCAGCCACGAATCCACGCCTTCCAGCCGGCTCCATTGAATTTCCATTCGGGCCATTTCGCTGCCCGTGTCGGCCCGTCACGTTACCCCGCCGCCCGCTCACGTGATCCGGCTACCAGTTCGGGCACCGCAACATATGCCGACCACGTGACCGTCCGATGGCGCCCCCTCACGCCGGGTACTTAGGGAGGCCGATCGGTAACGGTGACAGCGCCGGACCGGATGGCCTCCTCAATGGTCGCTGCCGATGGCGAGACGCACCATTAGGCGGTGTGGCGGCGGCGGGACACAATGACCCCCAGCGTCACAATGACTCCCTAACCCCCCCCCCCCCGGGGGGAGAGGTTAGGGAGGCCCCCCCCCCCCGGAGAGGGAAAGGAGAGGTCGGATATCGGTCACGGTTCACTGAGCACAGGCAATATGAGGAGGGGTCGCAACGCAAAACGATATTGTGAAAGTCGGTAATGTTTTCCAACACATGTGTGATAAGACCTCATTTGAGGGAGCTTGCTGCTTTTTTGACACTCAATCTAAATCCGGTAGAGTCAGGGGTATCGCAATTCGTATCCAATTGTGAATTCACTACAACACTGTCGGGAACAAGCATCCCGACTCGCTACTTACTGGCCGGCGCTAACGTAATCCATCCTTTTCCAGTCTGATTTAGTCGGACCGACCAGCCTCGATAGCTCACGTCACCCGGAAAGGCCTGCGAAGGTCGGAGGACTGTCCGAGTCGTCTGGACTGGACAGCCCCGATCTCTGACACGGTTGTGAGGTGACAAGTGGCAGCTCTACGAAACTCGCCGACTCGTTCACTGACAACGACCGTCCCGCCAGGCCCGTCCCAGCTGGACTAGCCCTGGCACGGCTTTGTGCCCAACAGTCTGAGGGTGAGAGCTTTCCACTGGCCAGGACCATTCGGTTGGCAGCATGCCAGTGTCACCCCCATCAGCGAGATATCCGGTTGTGTTTAAATAGAAAAACACAATTCTAACGAATAGTGGAAGTCTATTTCAAACAACCTGCGGTTAACCACCATCCTGCCGTCAGTGGCCCCAACACCGCACCAGACGGAGGCACCAGGTGCCGACCGGCCCGCAGATGGCGGTAGCAACGGCGGCCAGCCCTGGATACGGAGTTTGGGGTAATGTGAGATAACTAGTCCTGCTGACCGTCCGCCGCCCGGCTACTGAGGTTCATGCTAATCGTCATTGTTGCACGCACTAGTGCCACGAATCCAAAATCGAAAACTAGTGCCATTGATTGGGATCAGATGTAGACAAACTAGGTGGCCACTGCGGTCATACAGCCTTGGGCATAGGTGTAACAGCACCTGACAAGCAATGACGCCACAGGATGCTGATAGCAGATAGTGTTATCAATACCAGCACTATCAGCATAGCTGGGTGCTAAATGAATGCATAGTTTGGTGGAGAGGTGCCCAATGCATTACCATGCACTACAGTGCCTACTTATGCACAATGTAAGGCATTAATATTAATGCCCTAAAAGTATGCCACAGTGGCTGACCTGGGAGCACTTTCAGTCCCATCAAGTGACACTGCTTTAGGTTCAGATCTCCAGGCTCTTCCTCAAATGCACACAATATCCAACATGAATCAGGTGAAAGCATGATTTAAAATTCAGAATTGAAAGGAGTCTGAGAGCCATGCACAACTTCTTGCACCATTCATTCATTGGGTGGGTGCATTTCATCCTGATCTTGCATGGTATTGTTTTATGGTGACAGACTACAACAGTGTAGCCATTTTCTGAAAATTATCAAGAAATAAAATGCCTAGGAAAATCAAAGGCCATAAACTTGCCATACATAATCAATAAGCATATAACAATTATCAAAACACACTGTCAACTATATCAGATGAAGAAGATAAAGATGGATGAAAATCACTTTCCACATTCAGAAAACTGCAACTGGAAGCATGGAGTCATGTCCTGGACTGCCATTCATAGCCCAGCACATAACAAGGTTGCTAGGCTTGGCACAAAATAATCCATATCACCAATGTCCAGCTATGTGCCCTTGTATCCAGCTGCTATTCTTGAAACTGGCGGGTGCATATTTATGATCATGTCTTGTGGGGATAATCACACTCTAATCAGCAAGCCTTGGACAGTGAAACAAGCTCCTCCAACTTGCTCAATGCTCATGCTCTGCCTGGATCCTGTTTTGCAGTTGTGCATTTAAAGCTCATGTTTACTGCATTTCATTTCCACAGAAGGTACCAAATATGAATCCATTACCTTCTCACAAATGGCTTGATCCACTAATTTGCAACAACTTCCCTTGACCATAGGTTGCTGCCAGCAACTTTCTGTCATTATTTACCATTCATATAATACTTTGTCAACCTAGCTGATGCCCAACACTAGGGATGATAAGAAAGATCAGAATAGCAGTTCTGTCAAGCAAAGTATTTCAAATTACTCAAATTAGCAAATGATGGTCAAAGCACCTGCGCAAGTGCGCGCGCACTATTAGTTCATTGTTTATCAGTATGCTTCCGGTTCAGCCATGTGTAGCCCAATGTCATATCCCTTCTGTCATTGGAGAACAGCATGCCAGTTTATAATTTATATAGCCTTCAGCATGCCCACATCTACGTGAGCCTCAACTTGAAATGAAAATCCGAGAAACATAAGCAAGTCAGCAGGATTGGAGCGCTGACATTCGACAATAAGCCACAACCAATCAGTGCCTTGGCCACTGCTTCCTCAGCTCTTGAGTTTGAATAAGAGTGGTGTTCACTGGCACCACAAACTGCTGAGTGCGGTGTGTGCTGCAGGCTTGGGGTAGGCAGTTCTGACATCACGGCTGCGTGCGGTGGCCGGTTGGGACCGGCCACAGCGGCCACAGAAGACCGACGTAGGGACACAGTGGGCGGAGCTTGAAGGCTGTGTACAGTCCAACCGCACACAGTACCCGTAAACAGCCCTAAGGACAAGGTGTGTGAAAAAACATTTAAACTTAAAAGATCGAAAATGGAAGATTTAATACCTGAAATGCATTTTTAAATTCAACTATTAACAATCATATCGATTGAAATGAAGAAAGACTTTGACTGGTTTTTAATTAGGCTTTGACTTACCTTGAATAGGTGTCACTGGAATTCATCAAGATAAAATATCCAATTTTCTGGCAAAAGGCAGCTCAGTTTCAAGAAAGTGAACAGCAAGCACGGAAATTATAAACCAAACATATCTTCGATTCGTGTGTTGGCCTTCAACCTTCTGTCGTTGCTGTCAGAGGCTGTCAGAGCAGAGCCGTAAGTCGCAACATAACTTGAGCTAGCCCTGCACCGCCGTGAAGAAACTAAAAGTGATCACTATTTACTTTGCAAATAAAATCCCACCCAATCCCACCACAACTCGAACTTTTCCCCAACGCCTCCAGCCTGCTACGCCGTTGTCCTCGTGACTCATCGGATTGTGGCCTTTGTCTTGGCCTTTGTGTTTGTTGTGAAGCGACGATCATGGCGACAGTAGTCAGCTGTTCGCAGTGGTTTTCCGCTGAATAATTTAGCTGCTGCGTCCACCAAATTAGAGCTGCCGGCTCTTTCATTGGAGCGGGTACGCAAATCTAACATCCTTACAAATTTCCGATTCCCGCCAAGGGAAACTTTTTGTTTTCTATTCCTTGTAGCTCCGTAACTCGCCTTTTAACAGCGTTCACAGCTTAAAAGAATGAAATACCAGAACTGAATTACTCAATTGCTGGTTTCGACTGTCATGACCGGGAAATGGCTGATATTGATAATGGTGGTATAGGGTAATGTTGATGTTGTGGAATTAAAGAACCAATAATACTTCATGCTACGCAAACCGAATCCTTCCATTCGAAAAGCTTCCATTAAATTTCATTTACCATAATGCATGAACGGTTGAAGGTCCGCGTGGCAAAGTCGCAGTAAAAGTGGAGGCTAATTGATAAGTGAATCTCGCATCGTATCATCTCAACTCGAACTTTTCAAACGTCAAACACGGGCCACAATCTACGAAATGCATTTCACGATTAGTAAAAATATAAGTGGCTGTTAAAATCACCACGGCGATATAATACAGTTTCAGCGCAGGACGCCCGCGTAGGCAGCACAAGCTTCACGAAAGCCGTCCCACCGTACGGTCGGGAGGGCGACGCCACTCCTCGCCAGGAGAGCGGCAACAGCGGGGCTGGTGAGACACCTCCGTTGCAGAGATGCAGACTCCTAAACACAACTCTCCAGTTCCAATATCACATGATCGGCCTGTAGCGGTCGAAACACACCGCGCCAGTCCAGCCGATCCTTCGGTAGGCATCTACGTCACAACCAGCACAGCTGCCTGGAGCACCCCCTCCCCTCCCAGTTTGTCAGAATTGCTGTTACGGTCCCAGGAGCACAACACGAAACACATACATACCAGGGCAGAACTATAAGGGCACGAGTCGCGTTAGGAGCTCTGTCACACATCTGGCGCAGTACAAAGAATAACACGGAGTCATGGACTGAACTCAGTCGTCTCTGAGTCGCAGCTGAGTCACGGCAGAGTCACGGCTGAGTCACTCAGAGTCGCCGCTCAGATATCGAGCAGCTCAGAGGCGTCCCGGAGAGTGGCAGCGTCCGTGTTGACCAGAAACATGAGTCGGAACTCCTCGAGCACCGAGAGCTCGACGCTCCACAGTTTCTGCGTGCGGATCAGGTTGTTGAGCACGGTGGCCCGCTCGAGGTCGAGCCAGCGCTGCAGGGCGTCCTCTCCCTCAGTCAGCTCCAGGTCGGCGGGCCCCCAGAGCAGGAACTCTAGGACGGCGCGCGCGCGGCCCAGCGCCGCCGCGTCCTCTCGCAGCAGCAGGTTGGCCAGCAGCTCGAACGCGTTCAGTGAGGGCACGTCGGGCACGCTGACCCCGCGGCCGTCGGTGACCCGCTCCAGCGCGTCCTGGACACCCAGCATCCGCAGCATGACGGCCAGAGCCGCCTGACAGCCGGTCAGCTTCTGGCGGCCCTCGTAGTTGCCGTAGACGGCCACCAGGCGGCTCTGCGGGTCGCCCTCGGCGTCGGCGGCCACCAGCTCGCAGAGGGAGCGGTCGACGAACGTCTGTCCGCGCGCCTGCAGCTGCAGCAGGTGGTGGACCGTCTGCAGCAGCAGCAGACACACCTGCTGCTCCTGCTGCGGCCCGACCACCTCCGGCTGCGCGCAGACCACCTCCCAGAGCGGGCGCACCGTCACCGGCGGCAGCACCCACACCGTCGCTGTAAGAGAGGGAGACACACACAGCGGGGTTAGAGGAATACTAGGAAACACAAACTTGATTCATCTCTTCATCTCGCAAAGTCAATGCAAGTTTTACAAAGTACAAACAATATCTACCAAGGAAACTTCTCCCTGGCCTCGGTATGAAGTAGACTGTAGAGTCTGTAAATATCTCTCCAACAGCTCTCATTTCATGTGAGCTTCTACACATTCCCTTCTGCTCACCCTGCATGGCGGAGGTGTAGGATCCGGTGCTGGCCCGCGGCAGCAGGTGGCCCTGCACCAGGTCACGGAACATGGCCACCGGCGGCAGAGAGGCGGCCGGGGTGGCCGCCGGCTCACTGCTCAGCATCAGCAGTACCGGCTGATCGCGGTGCGTGGCGCGCAGGAACGCTCGCCGGCCGCACGTCACGTGCGTCTCCGGAGACACCTTGAAGTGGGTGAACGCCAGCGCCGGATTGTGCTCGAGCGGCCGCAGTGCGGCCGGCACCGGCCGCCGGCCCGACACCTGGCGGACGGGACGGGAGTTAGAGCGTGATAGATGACGCGAACTATAGTACCGAGATCGGCCATCTGTAGCAGTTACCATCCGCCACTTCAGCATGAGCTTCAGCACGAGCAAAAAATAGCATGGAGATCTTGAATCGTATAGCATAAAAATAGGAAAGTCCTTTTTATGAAAACACAAATGGCAATAAACGAAAAAATCGATGAACAAACGGACGGCAACCGAATCAATATTTATCGGGGAACGGCCCACCACCCGCTGAGGTTCGCATTTCACCCGCCCCCGCCGACTGCGAGCGAGGCTCTCACGTGGCCCACGCACAATTTCTCCGTCTGCTCACGAGTCTGCCGGCGGCGTCCACGATCGACGGAGTCACTCTCACCACCCACCGTCTTCGTAACCAATCCTGCCCATCGTTCACCAGTCCCCAAATACCACGTCTCCTAAATCACCCAGTTCGTATCACCCAGTGTCCCGTCGTCACCCGTTTATCCGGCGTGCCTCTGTCACCGTAAATAAAACACCACCCGTCCCTGCACCAAATGTCATACCTTCCATAGTACTATCTCTCGCTCACCAGTCACTAACACCACTCCTCTGTCTCACCAACCAGCACCCACCATCCCCGTCACTAGACCGATCACCCGTCCACCAATCATCAAACACCACCAGCGCACCACTCAGTCACCACCCACGCCTCAACCCGTCCCCCTCCATCCCCCACTCCTCCCATACCTACCTGATCTAGCAGCTGCAGCAGCGCCTCGTGGTTACTGGCGGTGACGGCGTCGTAGTTTTCCTCCAGGTTCGCATGTACAACCGACGTCTGTTTGCGGAGGCTGACGCGCGACGGCCGCTGACGCGGCAGCTCGGCGTCCGCGCCTGCTGCTGATGCTGATGGTGACGATGATGTGGGAGGGGTGGGTGGCAGCGGCGCCTGGCGACACACAGACGGAGAGATGTCAGATGGGTGGGGCTCATACCGGTGGGATGGATACGAGATAATGTGGAGATCGGTAAATGCCTAAAACAGACACGGGTGACGCCTGGGTTGGACTGATGGGTATGCTAAATATAAATAGCTGTAATTAACTATATAAGATTAGATATAAATAGCATCGTAACACATCCGCTTTGGATAAATACAGATGGTTGATCATTTAGATGATCACATATCGACAGAAGAGACAACTTCCCAAGAAGCTGAGCATAAGCAAATAAGCAGCAAAATATTTAAACGATGACCAATCAGAACAGTGTTAGCACAAGGTCAAAAGTCTAAAAGTGAGAATAACTACGCTTCAGGTAGCGACAGGCAGACAGGACTTGCAATTTGCATTGTCGCGGACGGGAAACGCTGCCGAGGTGGCGATGAAAGCAGATGCATTGGTCACTATGCATCCGCATTTACATGAGGTCATGCTCGTGCTCATCACACTTGCCACGGCTTGCCGGTGTCCATCTCAGCTTTCTTTTGAGATAAAACCAGAAACTGCCCATGCGTTTCGATGGTAAAATAAGACACGTAGCCTATAAACCGAAAAGGTGAGCAAAACACTTCCCGCATTTCTTTTCCATACCCAGGCTTTCTTCGTTTGCGATAAAACCAGAAACCGCCCATGTGTTTCGATGTTAAAATAAGAAACATGGCCCATAAACCGCAAAGGTGAACAAAATGCTTTCCGTATCTCATAACCGTAAACCCGTCTGGCTGAGTATTTTATCTGCTTATATTTTCCGCCGAGCGCCGTATAACGGGGATCATGACCACCCGCCCAAAGAGCACAGCCACGCCCGGTCGTGTCTAGGGGTTCGAGGCGGCCCGGGCGTTCCCACAGCGGGTATATCCGCCCCACCCCGTCCGTGGGAGCCGCTCGTGGCGTCCGGGATGTCCCCGGCAGCTAACGAGACACGACCGAAGTCAGTCCGGTCGCCGGCGGCCGGGGCTGGTGCCTGTCCGGTCACACGAGCCGTACCCGTACTCGTACCTGGTTCGACGGCAGGCCATTGGTGGGAGAGTCCGCCACCGTCGGAGAGGCAGACGACACCTGAGGAGAGAACAAACAGTGGTTATCATAGGCTTAGCGTGACAGTCGTGACATGTGCGGAGCAGCAAATGAAGACTTGGATGTCGAGAACGCACACGATTTCGTTATTAGCGACAACATTATGAGCGTATTTAAGATCACATCAGCCACAGCTTCTCACATTCCAACGTCTTCACAATCGTTACAGTAGTTAAATATCACGTCGCACGCTGGTCCAGATTCACGTAAGACCCGATCAAAAATAATATTTGCCGTTTTCGAATTTACTTATTCCAGGGTTATTTTTCTTTTGTTATGTTCCTGGGGAACCAAGATATGCTTTTAGTTTGGCTCCCGAGCCCTCTGATCAGGAGCAGTGCGCGTTTAAAAGTGAGTGTTTTTTACCCTCTTTGCATGCCGCTTCTCAGCAAGTGACGAGTTGTGCTCGTGTGCTCACCAGTGAACGTTCGTGTCTCCAAGTTTTTGTGGTACCTCCAGTCACCCAAGGATGGCAACTTCCCAACCAAGTGGTCGTTTCCCCTTTTGAGCCAATACTGGGAGAATTCCCTTTGGTTGGAATCACATGTGGTCGTGCGGTCGCTTGTTGTTTGTTCATCGGACGAAATGGTACAGAAGGACAGCAAAGTACAAAATCAAACTCATATCATGTGATACCTACGACATCACTCTTCACTTGGTAGGAAAAGGTTTTGCTACTTTTTGCTACTTTAGCAGTTAATTAGATTTTCCCGTTTCAGATCCACTCAATGAGATGACGTCCCCCACCCGTCGGGAGCTTCTGGAGGCGATGCTGGGAGCCGGTCCCCTGATGTCGGACGAGGCATTGCAAGCTGGTGTCGAGTTCTTGTGTCTTTCGGTTCCTCCTGGACGTGTGCCTGACCGATCTGTCATCCGGGACGTCGTTCTTGATCACCGGAAGAGGATGCATCGACGCTGGGATGCTCCAGGAGTTCGACGGATCTTCGCGAAGATGCTGGACAAACATGCAGTCTGGCTTCTCGAATCTGTTCCAGTGGCGATCCTGGCACCTCCAGCTCCTGGGCAAGACGACCCGATGGATGGCCGCGGACGACCGTCGCAGATGCCGGCTGCCTTCACCCTCGTCTCCTCCCCCACCAGGCGCCGCAACGTGTCCCAGCTGCTCGACCAAGGATTCACCGGCCAGCAGCTGGCGTACGCGGCTCAGATGACTCTGAGGAAGGAGGGGAGGAAAACCGAAGCCGACATCATCAAGAAAGTTATTGCCGCAGACGGCCCGGACCCTACTGTGGTGCAGGCATCGTACCGCGGACCCCCTCCATCGCTTCCGAAAACGCTGTCGGCCGACGAAGCTCTCGTGTTGCTCTTCAACACCAACATGACACGAGCTGCGTACCAAGAGGTCCGTGAGACATCCAAGGACCACGTCGCCGACATCTTCCCGCCGTACAACTTCGTATTGGATGGCTTCTGTCCCCGTGCAGCAGTTGCTTGACCACACGGCGTCAAGGCTGTGCACGCTCCAGGAGTCGGTCATCCAATCGTCGGCAGCTCAAGGCTCCTTGATCCTGACCTCCAAGTACGGGTTTGACGGCGCTACCGGTCAACAAGTCTACCGCCATCGACAATCAACGGACGTCGATGACTCTACCATGTTCCTGGCGAGTATGGTCCCTCTGCGGCTCCGGACCGAGGATGGCCGAGTGATCTGGGCGAACCCGAAGCCAAACTCCACTTTCTTCTGTCGTCCGATCAGCTTCATCTTCGAGAAGGAGTCCAAGGAGTTGACCACCGCCACCTACGTCCAACTCCAGCATGAGGTGGAGTCACTCACGCTGTCAGTCGTCCAACTCACTAACGACGTCACCATCTCCGTCCGCCATGAGATGACGTTGACCATGATTGACGGCAAGGTCCACAACGCCATCCAGGGCATCCGGTCGCAACAGGTCTGCAGCATCTGCCGGGCCAAGCCTACGGAGATGAACAACATCGACGGAGTCCTGGCCCGGCCCATTGCAGGAGACCGGACTCAGCACGGAATCTCCACTCTCCACTGCTGGATCCGGTCGATGGAGATGTTCCTTCACATCGCGTACCGACTCCCGTTCTGCGAGTGGCAGGCCCGTGGAGAGGAGAAGCAGCGGATCGTCAAGGAACAGAAGCAGCGGATCCAGACCGAGTTTCGTCAGCGTTTGGGGCTCCTGATCGACCAGCCCCTTCCTGGCGGAGCTGGAACGACCAACGACGGCAACTCGGCCCGCCGCTTCTTCTTGGAGCACGAAACGTCTGCGGACATCCTGGGCCTTGATTCCACCCTGATCCGCCGCTTCAGCTACCTCCTCCGCGCTGCGTCCTCCAACTTCCACCTCGACGAAGAGCGGTTCGGCGTGTACGCGGTTGAGACGGCCAGGATATTGGTCAGTCAGTATGGGTGGTTCAGGATGCCCCAGTCGGTCCACAAGCTCCTGATCCATGCTCCCACTGTCTCCGCCTGCATGCTCCTTCCCCTGGGGGCGATGTCAGAAGAAGCCCAAGAAGCCAGGAACAAGGACTTCAAGGCAATCCGGGAGCACCATTCGCGCCAGATGTCCCGGGTTCAGTCCAACACCGACCTGGTCCACCGGCTTCTTGAGACTTCCGACCCCTTGATCAGCCCCCTCCGGATGCGGAAGCTGAAGACTCCGACGACCACGGCCACGGACCAGTTTCCTTCAGAGGTCCTGGCCCTCCTTCGGGCTCCATCGGTGAAGCTGTAGAGCCTGGGTGGTGGTGGTGGTGGTTGTCTTGCTGGTCGCGGGGATGAGCTTTCAGTGTGTGTTATGATGGGGAGGGAGGCATAAAGTTGCCAACTTTCAGTGTGTGTTATGATGTGACATATAAACAGTTTTGTTACAAATCAGTGTGTTTGTTAAAGCTGGCCAACTAAAATCACTCGTTATTTTCGGTTTCTGAGGTAAAATGTAGAAATTCGGTCATGTTTATGCTTATAGATCCTTTTCATGTGGACTTGAACTCAGTTCACTCAAAAATTATTTTTGATCGACTTCTTCGTGAATCTGGACCAGTGTGCGTCGTTGCAAACCATACAAGAACTACACTTATCCCTCAGAAGGTCACGGTTTAAACGTTACGGTTCGTGAACCAGGCTTTAGCTTTGCCGGTAAATGCCGTAAGGTATCATAAATTTATTCCACGACTATCCTAGAAGGATGCATGCTAAAAAACGGCTCGGGTGTGCGGAACACTGGCACTTTGTGCTCCTTACACTCCAGTCTGGGTACTTTGACTCAAAGACCACCGCAAATGCCTCTGATATCCGTCATGCATAGTCGAATCTGAATCGCGTGATGGTGAATACAGCTAGAAGAGATTTGGGCCGACATCACGAAAGAGGAACAAGGTTAAAGATCACACTGCTTCAAGGCCAAACGGGGCGAGGAGATGAGAGTGAGACGTGACGTGACTTGGTCTGCTTTGATCTGTTACAGCGCATCACAAACAAAACACACTGCACCGCTCAGTAAACGCGATATAGCTGCATCGATATCGCACCCAGCCTCACAAAGACTGACGAAGGTAGCTGTCACAGCTCACGGTCTGTAAATCACAGCACCTGCGCAGCAAGCCTTAGCCGACAGATGCTCGCAACTTTGCACAACAGCTGATCAAACACGAAATACTCTGCGCACAAAACACACGCAGAGGAGCCTTGTTCAACGTTCAGACAAGGCCGTCACACGAGCCACTGTGTCAATAGAAAAGGCAATAAGCCAGCAATCAGCGGCAAACAGAGGGAATGCGGTCAAATGACTCACAAAGCGCGGCACACAGCACGGCACACGTCACAACGCACACGCTGGCGAAAGCACGCTCACGGAGCTCACGCATCCACATACGTACTAACCTACAATCACGCATCGAGTCGCTCCAATCGGTACACCCACACTGAAAACAAACCTACGCACCGGTATACTAACCGGCCTCGCAGCTACGTGTGCGTTACATAACTACAAACACCCGCGGCGCACGCACCCCATGCGTTTCCTCATGCATTCCGCCTCCTTCGAGTGGCGGGCTCAATTCGCCCGGCGTCTATTGACAATGCCATTGAGAAGGCGTTGACAAGGTATGCGTCAACATACGCTGATAAAGCCTGACAAACGGCGCACGATAGGTGCCCCCAGCGGACACGCCATATTTCTCCGTACGACGTTAGTCAGAGGCATTCGCATATTCCGTCCCTCCCTTGCTGCGTTTTAAGTGTTTCCTGGCCACGACCCACACATGAGTCAGCTCCGAGCGGTGGCCTGTAGCAGTGACACATCTCTAAGCTCACCTGAGGAGACTCGGGGGCCGTCTCTGTCGTCTCGTCCGTCTCAAAGGCCACCCTCAGCCGGGGCGTCTCGCTCCGCACGGAGCCGCCCCGGTCCGGCTTTCGAGGCGTCAGACCAGCCCGGTTCGTCCCTGAGGGAGAGAGGGAAGAGAGGGAGAGAGTCAGAGGGAGGGTAGAGTGGGCGTCGGCAGGGGTGGAGTCACAGCCAACGCAGTCCTGTCAATCAGGATTACCCTAGTCAATAGAGAGGCAAATGGTCAGCTAAGGACTGTTGACCATGCAGGGTGACAGGTCCACGCCGATGAAATCAGGCGTCCAGAGGCCCTCTTCCATCAGAAGTAGGTCAATCAGCACCGCACACTCTGACGCCCTCCGTTATGGGTTTCGTTCCGTGGGCGCTGTCGGCAGCCTGGCTTCAAACACGTCCCGGAAAGCTGCCACCGTCAGCTCCACCCACCCGTATCATTGTCACATCAGCGGCTCATTTCCGGCCAGGTGTCGGGGGGGGGGGGGGGGGGGGCTCCGCCGCATCATATGGTCAAACCGCGACGACGTCAAGCGGAGGAGCGGGAGCTTGTATTGAGGATAACCCGGAACACAGGCGAGGCGCAGAGCCACCTGAGTCATGACAATACCGAACAACTAACGGTCAGAGCTCGGGTCAGCGCGCTCCCGATCAACAATACCGGATCAACGACCGAGATAATCAATTATAAATCCACAATAGAAACAACAACGGACCGCCGCCAGGCCAGCTACGGCCAGGAACAACGCACCTCATGCTGGCGAAAACGCGGCATGAGATCATATACCCAGCAGCCGAGCAAGAACAGTGGACATCTCGCTAATGTTACAACTAGACAAAACGTCGTCCTGTCTGAAGCCTGGGCTCGTCTCCTCGGCTTGACATACACGGCCAGACGAGGCCACGGCCAAGTAAGGCTGCCCGTACCGGTGTCACGCCCATTGTCCCCGGCGACATCCGTACGCCGCTGACACTGTACCGACCCGACAGCACATCGCCCACGCCAGGCTGTGACGCCATAGGCCCGAAGTCGAGGTTACGTGGTTTGGGAGACGCCCACCCGCCCACAGGGAGTCCGCAGACGGCCACGGCGGAACGAAGAGGAGAGGAGAGGTTGGGTACGGTTTGGGGTCACAGAACGGTACAGAAGATGGAGAGAGGTGCTGTTCGCACTAACTGACGGTTGGTGAAATATCAAATATTTGATCCAGTAACCAACAAATAGGCATGACTAAAACACCACTGAGTATATGTATCTCAAAACAGCCTTCTTTCAGTCCGTTTCGAAGCGCGCGGACCATGGTCGCGCGGGGGCAGCGGAGGCCCGTCCCGGTCTGGCCGGAGCTGGATTCCAGATGTCAGGCCGGGCGGGCCCGCTGCCCATATTAGCCGAGGCTTATTTAGCCGGGACGGCGAGTGGAGGCGTATGCAGGGAGTTGTCCCTGAGAGATCTACACGCAGATAGCGCCACTAATGCCGGGCTGCTCACTGACGACCATGACGTGGTAAGGCCACTACCTCAGTGGGTTAGCGTAACCACTTGGCTCTGAACTGCGGCGCAGCTGTTTTGGTAACAACTGGTGGTGCCGACATCTGCTTACAAGACAACCTTCAGCGAACAAACTACGAAGATTAGCGGTACAAAAACTACATATCTGAAAAAATAGCTGCTTTTATCGAACAAGCAGAAAAATTACCTTGCGAGTTATTCCACTAAAAATTTAGTCAGTTTCCCTTGAGTATTTCTTGGGATAGGGATAGTGGATATCAAAGCTATCGTAGTGGAAATCAATGATATCTAAAATATCAAATCAATTCAAAACTAATTACGACTGAACGTTCCACTGACATTCCGTAGCTACCGAAGCACCATTCGTGGTTACAGCTGAAGAAAACTGAATCATTAATTACGTGTCTGTTCACAAATGCACGACATTGCGGCTCCGCGCCCAAGACGGAATTAAAATCAGTCTAATCGTGAGAAGTGATAACGGATGTCGTCTGTGTTTATCCAGCAGTGCACGTTAATTGAGCACGGTGACTCAATGACGGCGACCACGTCTTTGTGACTAGGCCAGGAGCACCAACCCAGGTCCGGCAGACTGAATGTAGGGACACAATAATGGGCATTGGTCCCAATAAACACAGAGATAGATTCAATTGATTGGTGCAGTTGCAATGCTGAATCGTTTGCAAACAGCAGCCAATTCAGTACAGGGGAAATCAAACAATGAAGCGAGGGAAGGAGAGAGGGGGTGAGAGAGAAAAATGAGATAGAGAGAATGGGAAAAAGAGAGAGAGAGAGAGAGAGAGAGAGAGAGAGAGAGAGAGAGAGAGGGAGAGCGAAAAAGAGAAAGAGATGAGGAAGAGAGGAAAGAGGGGATGAACGGACAGAGCCTGAGGGGAAAATAAAGAGATCAAATATGTGAAATCTAACGGGTGTCGACCAGAGGACAAACCCAGTACGGTAGGAGAAACGGAGAGATTCCCGGCCCGGCCCGCCTGTCCATCCCGCTGGAGAGGCCGACCCAGACAGACAACGGGAACACCGGACTGGCCAGCGGTGACGTCATGTCCCCGGTGGCACGACCGGCCAATGAAACACTGATCAACGACAACAGGCGGCTCAATGGGACCGGCTCATGAACGATCCACCGGCAGACGCGCCCGGCGGATGGGCGACAGCCGACAGATGATATTGGTGTCGGATGAGCTCAGCACGAGGTCACCTTGGGGTTCACGGGGTCAAATTGAGGTGACACAGGGGTCACAAAATTCATGGACGTCATCCGGTGGTTGGGACGCCGGCGTATTAGTCAACTTTGAGGTCAACAGGTCAATAACAGTCGCTCCAACATACCCTCTGAGGTGCACTCAGTTGACACGGGGTCACCCGACTCCCCACATACCTTCAGTCTCAGCTGCCCCCATCTCCCAGAGATCACAACACCCACCAGATGCCCCTATCCCCCTCACGTGTCCTCTGAGATATCCCCATGCCTCTCTAATACTCATACCCCTCCCATATCCCTCTCCCTTAGGCCACTTACCGAGGTTGGCGTACTCAGTCTCGCGCGGCGCCGTCACCCGGTCGGCGGCGGCCTGCAGGGGCGGCGGGGGCCGCGTCGGCGGCGACAGCAGCACCGTCGCCGCCGACACCTCCGACTGGTCGATGGAGGAGGTGCGGCGCGGCGGCGGCGGCGGCTTCGGACGACCTGGGGAAGGAGACAGGGCCAGGTCAGCGGCGCGTGCGGCGGGGAACAGTGCACACTGGGCCGATCGCCAGGTCCAGCACGACGTGAGTAAAAAAATCGAACTTTGTGGATGTGCAATGAAACCTATACCAATTTGTTCAAAAATGATCATACTACATTGCTGTGGTCTTTGTTTTCCAACACAATAGCTATTTCATGGCGAAAACTCAGCTTAAACACGAACTTCGGAATCGTTTGGAACGAACTCGTCCCCCGCACTCATCGACAACGTATCTTTGATCCACGAAAACAATCACAATTTGAGGAGGAATTCCACATTTATATACATCAAACGATAGCTCCGGGTCTTAAGAACACACATAACCACATGGAAATGGCGAACTCTCACTTGGTTATGATGTATTGGCACCGCAAAGATGTAAAGACGAAAATATAATTTCACATAATTGATGTCACACACAAATAGACTTTTAAAAAAAGTACCGCAGAGTACCGCTTCGAAAATCTCGCTACATGTCACTAATTCATTGCACTACAAGATCCAACAGTCATTTTTTGCGACTTTTTGCGACTTTGGATGTAGCAGCCAAACATCAACCCGCGCCGGACCGGTGCTCGGCGTCAAACGCGCCGGGCCGGGAGGTGTTGATTGAACACTCCACTTCTAACTCGGCTCTTGGGCCACATAGCGACACGTAGTAAGTGGCACTCGAAAGAGCGCCCGAAATTCCAGATGGAGTAATTAGTCATTTCTAGGTCAGGTCAAAGGTCACGTCACCAGAGGTCATCAAAGGTAAAATGTTGCATATATCAACATTTCTCGAAAACCTCGGGGACCAATAGAACTACATCGTCGCGGAAAAGTGCATTCAATTGCTCTTTTAGCGGTCTTTCTGAAATAAGCCCTCAGATTTGGCTTAACCCTCGCCCCTAGTGGTGTTTTTCCAGCCGCGAACGTATAGAAGGGGTCCGTTGGACCCCCCCGCCGTTTCGCCCCTGATCGAGCTAGAGCTTCGCGGAAAAGACGAGCGTGTTGCCCGTGACAAGAGGAAGCTGATAGTACCCAATTGTAAGGTCCTTAAATCACGTCTCATGCAACATGACCTGATGTTCCTTTACGGTGTGTTTCACGGCCACATTGACTGTCCTCAGCTGCTACATCAGTTTCAGCTGTCGACACCTGTCAGACGCAACAGGTCCCACGTCCGTGAAGTTAGCGTCGTATTCCGCGACGGATTCAGCGTCGAGTCCGAATTTCAACTAAACCCAACCTATCCGATGCAGTTTGGGACGCTGATTCCGAATATCGTATTCATTTCAAATTTCAAGGTCATCTTCAAGGTCAAATCACGGATTGAAATTGAGACCCCGATTTTTCCTACACCGATCGTCCGATCCGATTTCTGAAGGTCGCATTCGAAAGCTAGGGTCAGAATCTCGAATTCCCTAATATATACCTTATTAAAAATATTTGACCTTCAAGGTCAAATCACGGATTGAAATTTTGAGTCCCCCTATTTTTTCTACAACGATCGTCCGATCCAATTTCTGATGGTCGCATTCGATAGCTAGGGTCAAAATCTCGAGTTCCCTAATATATACCTTATTAAAAATATTTGACCTTAAAGGTCAAATCACGGATTGAAATTTTGAGTCCCCCTATTTTTTCTACACCGATCGTCCGATCCAATTTCTGATGGTCGCAATCGATAGCTAGGGTCAGAAACTCGAGTTCCCTAATATATACCTTATTAGAAATATTTGACCTTAAAGGTCAAATCACGGATTGAATTTTTGAGTCCCCCAATTTTTTCAACACCGATCGTCCGATCCGATTTCTGATGGTCGCATTCTATAGCTAGGGTCAGAATCTCGAGTTCCCTAATATATACCTTATTAAAAATATTTGACCTTAAAGGTCAAATCACGGATTGAAATTTTGAGTCCCCCTATTTTTTCTACACCGATCGTCCGATCCAATTTCTGATGGTCGCAATCGATAGCTAGGGTCAGAAACTCGAGTTCCCTTATATATACCTTATTAAAAATATTTGACCTTAAAGGTCAAATCACGGATTGAATTTTTTTGACCTTAAAGGTCAAATCACGGATTGAAATTTTGAGTCCCCCTATTTTTTCTACACCGATCGTCCGATCCAATTTCTGATGGTCGCAATCGATAGCTAGGGTCAGAAACTCGAGTTCCCTATTATATACCTTATTAAAAATATTTGACCTTAAAGGTCAAATCACGGATTGAATTTTTGAGTCCCCCAATTTTTTCAACACCGATCGTCCGATCCGATTTCTGATGGTCGCATTCGATAGCTAGGGTCAGAATCTCGAGTTCCCTAATATATACCTTATTAAAAATATTTGACCTTAACCCGGCACCGCCTGGGCTATTTCCGTACCCACATCAGCCTGGGGGGGGGGGTCGGATCCGACCCCCCCCCCCCTGTTATCTCGAGAACCAATGGTCGTATCGAGCCCCGCGAGGCGGCGTTCGAAAGGTCTCTACGAGACCTTCCCAAATCACTCTTAAGATTTTAAGATTGAGGTCAACTTTCGGGTCAAGGTCAGGTCAAAGGTCAAATTCAGGGGTTTTGCATGATTAGGCTTACGGACAGCGGAATCGATAGCTGCTGCTCGAAACTCACCACAAATGACCTCAAAGACATAGTGAAGGTACCATGTGCGTATAGGGGTCATACTAAGTACGGGTCAAGGTCAGGTCAGGTCACGAAAGGTCACGGTTTTCACTTTCTGCTACATGGGCGTGCGACACATGTTTTATGGCTTATTTTTCACGCCAAATCCGATGGTAATGGTTATATGTGACCCCAAGTCACTGTGCTGGTGATAAGTGTGCATTGAAAGCATAAAAAATCGTTTATACCATACATAACTAAACGAGGGCTAAGAAAAAAAGTCAATTTTTAAACTTTTTATTTTTGACATAAAAATGCACTTTTCTAGACGAGCTTTGTCCCAGGAATCTAGTTTTCACATGCGATGTTCAGAAGTGCCTCTAATTCGCGAAAATGCTTATGACGTCACCATGCCCTATGCATGTTGGAGTTATTTTTTACAATTTGGGGGTCAAAAATCAAGATAGAAAGTTGAAATTTGGGACATCTAATGTTCTAATAGAGCTCTATAACATATATTCCGGTTTTTTGGAAATTCTCAAAATTTTGGATTTTATAAGCTGTTTTCCAAAAAATTTAGTTTTTTGAATTTTTAGGGGTGAAAAACGCATTTTATGGACAATCCGAGATAGCCATTTTAAAGAACTCGTTGAGCTGCGTCTTTTCATGTCCTTAATTTGCAATTTGCTTAAAACCTCGATTTTTGGCGATTTTTTTAAACATTTACCATTTTTTGACTGAAAACGCCATGTAGTTACATCACTAAAATCGGTATATCTCAGAAATTTTTGAATTTTTTTTTCTTAAAAATTGCACAGGAGACGTCAAATTGATGGGGGAGAAGGTATGCGAAGTTTCAAGTTGATAGCGCAAGCGGTTCATGAGTTATTCAAGAAAAACGGAGGGGGGGGGGTCGGATCCGACCCCCCCCCCAGGCGGTCGCGGGTTAAAGGTCAAATCACGGATATTCAACCTTAAAGGTCAAATCACGGATTGAAATTTTGAGTCCCCCGATTTTTTCTACACCGATCGTCCGATCCAATTTCTGATGGTCGCATTCGATAGCTAGGGTCAAAATCTCGAGTTCCCTAATATATACCTTATTAAAAATATTTGACCTTAAAGGTCAAATCACGGATTGAAATTTTGAGTCCCCCTATTTTTTCTACACCGATCGTCCGATCCAATTTCTGATGGTCGCAATCGATAGCTAGGGTCAGAAACTCGAGTTCCCTAATATATACCTTATTAAAAATATTTGACCTTCAAGGTCAAATCACGGATTGAAATTTTGAGTCCCCCTATTTTTTCTACACCGATCGTCCGATCCAATTTCTGATGGTCGCATTCGATAGCTAGGGTCAAAATCTCGAGTTCCCTTATATATACCTTATTAAAAATATTTGACCTTCAAGGTCAAATCACGGATTGAAATTTTGAGTCCCCTATTTTTTCTACACCGATCGTCCGATCCGATTTCTGATGGTCGCATTCTATAGCTAGGGTCAGAAATACGAGTTCCCTAATATATACCTTATTAAAAATATTTGACCTTAAAGGTCAAATCACGGATATTCAACCTTAAAGGTCAAATCACGGATTGAAATTTTGAGTCCCCCGATTTTTTCTACACCGATCGTCTGATCCAATTTCTGATGGTCGCATTCGATAGCTAGGGTCAAAATCTCGAGTTCCCTAATATATACCTTATTAAAAATATTTGACCTTAAAGGTCAAATCACGGATTGAAATTTTGAGTCCCCCTATTTTTTCTACACCGATCGTCCGATCCAATTTCTGATGGTCGCAATCGATAGCTAGGGTCAGAAACTCGAGTTCCCTAATATAAACCTTATTAAAAATATTTGACCTTAAAGGTCAAATCACGGATTGAATTTTTGAGTCCCCCAATTTTTTCAACACCGATCGTCCGATCCGATTTCTGATGGTCGCATTCGATAGCTAGGGTCAGAATCTCGAGTTCCCTAATATATACCTTATTAAAAATATTTGACCTTAAAGGTCAAATCACGGATATTCAACCTTCAAGGTCAAATCACGGATTGAAATTTTGAGTCCCCCTATTTTTTCTACACCGATCGTCCGATCCAATTTCTGATGGTCGCATTCGATAGCTAGGGTCAAAATCTCGAGTTCCCTAATATATACCTTATTAAAAATATTTGACCTTAAAGGTCAAATCACGGATTGAAGTTTTGAGTCCCCCTATTTTTTCTACACCGATCGTCCGATCCAATTTCTGATGGTCGCAATCGATAGCTAGGGTCAGAAACTCGAGTTCCCTAATATATACCTTATTAAAAATATTTGACCTTAAAGGTCAAATCA